TCTGGCTCTTCCCTAAGGTCAAAATGCCACGGAAGATTGACATTTTGGATCAATTCGGGCATCAAGACAGCTGAGACAGAACCACCAAGACCCTGATGCAGGAGGACTTCCAGAGCTGCTTCAGAAAGCGTCGAGGACAATGGGATGAGCGTATCTGAAGTGAAACACTCACAGCACGGTGCCTTTTACCATAATTTTAAAAAATTAACCATTTGCTGTATTCTGCCTCACTCTGACGCATCTGATGGGAAGTCCCCAGGGTCGTGGCCCAGGGCCTACTCTGCTGATCCGGGGCATGGGTGGGCCCGCTCCCCCTCCTCCCTAGCTTTGCAAACGTGGCAAGCTGCTGTGCGTGCTGTGGCCGGGGAGAGGGAACCACCACATTGTCCCTCCAGGCTGCCATGAGCGGCACAGGCGGAAGGCGACTCAGGCCCCTGGCGCCAGTGCTTGAGCTCTGTTCAGGGTCGGACGCCTGGTAAACCACAACTATGTGCACAGAGTTAGTTTCGAGTCCCTTCCTTGTCATTTCTTAGGACGCTGCTATTTCAAAGCCCTTAAATATTTGCTCAATAAATAGCGAGTGACTCCTGGCATAACGTAGTCAGGACAGAATGAAACAGGGGTGAGAGGGACGTGACTGTCACTTACATGGACCCGGCAAATCTGCGTCCACGACTGACTTCATCTGGCATAGAAACTGTTTTGTTAAGAAGGGGGAAATATTTGTCTTAAAACCAGTCTTCTGGATGGGGATGGAAAGGCTTTCCTTGCCACTCACTACCTGGGAGCTGGACACACAGGACCTCACCTTGACTTGGGGCACGGAAACCTGGCTGCTGGGGCGGTCACGCTGCCCCGGGGTCCTGAGCCTGTCACTTGTCACTTGTTTGACGTGCTGCAGGGGTCAAGCAAAGGCCTAGGAGAACCCATATCCTGGAGTGCTGGGTGAGGGGCCGCTGTGGCCATGTACCTCGTGGGCACCTCCCAAGCTTCTCTGATGACCATCTTTCTTCCCTGGGGATGCCTGGGCCAAGAAAGCATAAGAAGCAGCTGAGAGGAGAATGAGAGCTCCTCTTCCCCCTGCCTCAGCAGTCCCACATCTAGCACTATACGTCAGCCTTCCCAGCTGCATGTGACACACTGAGGTCTCTCCTATCTTTGTTTGCTTTTTGAGACATACTTGCTATGTAGCTCAGGCTGGCCTCACATTCCTGGTAATCCTCCTACCTCAGCCTCCCAAGTGCTGGGATTATGGGCACGCACCATCACCACCTGACCAAGGTCCCTCCCATCTTTAACCAAACCCGGGGTCCCTGCAGCTCCGTGCCCTCCCGTGTGCTGCACGTGGCCGCAGGTGTGTGTGTGGGGTCCCAGTGTCACTTCTGCACTGTGCCCCAGCGAGGCCCTTGTCTGGTGAATGCACAGAAATGCACAGCAGGTGATTTTGAGCTACTTCAGCTTCCCTGGCTAGAGGAATCCGAGCCTGGGTCCTCTTCCACCTGTTGCTCCCACTTCTGTGTCCTCCCAAGGCCACCAGTGTTAGCACTGGGGGTGGAGCTGCCCACGCCCCTGCGTGCTCAGACTGCACACCTGCGGCTCCTGGCCCAGGCCTTTATAAGCTGCTTTTTCACTACTGTTCAGGTTACTTTATGAGTTCCCTCACGCCTCTGGGTTAAGAGGCCTGTACACAGGGTGTGCATGGCCAGCGTTGTCTTTTGTATAGAAGGGGGCATGTTTGTGGGCACAGCCAAGTTTCAGCCCAGTAGCTGAGGTCCAGACATCTTGAGAAATTAAGAGAAAAATAGGGGGCGAGGCGATTGCGGCCTGTGGCAAGCAGGGTGGAGTGTTTCCCTTGGCTCCGGCCACCCTACTGGGCCCGGTCACTATGTTCCCAAGCGGCCAACACACAGTACTGATGGCATTATCTGTTTTGGATCTAAATATTAGTTAAAAAATACCTTGACCACTAAGCCACACGAGGTTGGCTGGAAGTCCCTGGAGATGGCTCTTGTCTCCTTCGGAGCCGTCCCATGGATGGGGTCAGCAGTGCCACCGCCCGAGTGCTCCACTGAAGCACCTGTCCTCCTCTCTTCCCCCTTTCTCTTCCAGAATCTTCCGGAAATCCCAGCAGTCACCACCGATGTTTTCCAAAGAAAACACTTCAAGGTGAACTGCACAAGGGCCTTGCCCCATCCACTTGGTGGGGGGGAATCTCCTCCATACCACAGCCCCAGGCCGAGCAGAGCTCCCCAGTCACCAGAGAAACTAAAGAATCGACAGCAAAAATAGCACAAAACCCAAAGCAAACCGAAAATTCCCAAAGGGGAAAAGCAGAGGTGCAGAGGACCCCAGGGCCACAGTGAGAAAAAGTCATCAGAGGCCAGCTGTGAAATTATTCACTCAAACCGTAACTCAGAACAGTGCTGTGGGCCATGCGCAGAGGCCTGTTTTATTTACTTATTTTATTTTTTATTTTTGTCTTTTTTGAGACAGGGTCTCACTATACAATTCAGGCTGGCCTTGAGCTCACTTTGTAGCCCAGGCTGGTCTCAAACTTGCAACGATCCTCCTACCTCAGCCTCCTGAGTGCTGGGATTACAGGCATGACCCACCACACCCGGCTTGAGGCCTGTTTTAATATGGCCCCGAATGACCATGGTTTTCATCATGGGGTGTGAGTGTGTGTGTGTGTGTGTGTGTGTGTGTGTGTGTGTGTTGAGACAGGGTCTTGCAGTAGTGTAAGCTGCCCTTGGACTTGCAGTAATTCTCCTGTCTTAGCCTCCTGAGTGATTTTCATGGTTTTAAATATTTGAAGAAGCCGGGCATAGTGGCGCAGGATTGTAATTCCAGCACTTAGGAGGCTGAGGCAGGAGGATTGCTGCGAGTTAGAGACCAAGCCTCGGCTGCCACGAAGTGAGCCCAAGGCCAGTCTGGACTGCATAGTAAGACCCTGTCTCAAAAGACAAAAATAAATAAATATTTGAGGAAAGACTTTAATGACACATAAACTGCATGACATTCTCTAATATTTAGGGTCCCATGGGAGCACAGGTTTCTTAACAGCTCCTCCCAGCTCAGTGGCAGAACGGAGGGGCTGGAGCTGAGAACAGGTGTCCTGCCAGGTCCGAAACCTTCCCAATTTCCACTACGGAGCAAGTCTGCCGACCCTGTTTGAAGGCAAGTTTTACCACCACATTGGGTGCTCCTGAGCTGGAGGGTGCAGCCCAGGGTGCCACTCAAGTCTGCCCATCCAGCTGCGTGAGGACAATGCCAGGGTGTCTGCTGGTGCCACCTGTGGCCCCAGGGGGAAACAGCTGGTGTACACAGGCTGGAGAAGGCAGGTCCTGTGCCCTGCTTCTGGGAGCACAGACTGGCTGCACTGAGCTACGTTCCTGGACCACTGTAAGTTTTTTACTGTGAGACGGGGTCTTGCTAAGTCCATGATTTGCCCAGGTTAGGTCTGATCTTTCAATCCACCTGCCTCAGCTTCCCAGAGCGATGGGGTCCCAGGCATGTGCCACCACACCCAGCTTTTCAGTCACTTGTTAAACTCACTGGAGCTCAGAGAAAAATACACTTCCCCTCATCCAGGTGCAGACTGACTGCTCCCCAAAACAGAAGCATCTCCCCACAGTCGCTCAGGACTAACTGCTCCCCCAAACAAAAGGAAGGCAAGACGAGTGTTCCCTGGAGCTTGGGGCAGGGTGTCTGCTCCTCTCAGTTCCCCGAGGGGAAAACGGCGCAACTCCTGTCACCCGAGAGTCCACTATAGCCCACGCCGCCACGCCACACCCCTCACAGATGCCACCAAACCTTCTTACTGTGAGAGCCAAAGCGGTGGCTTTGTCACAGCTAAGACAACCCAGATGGGAAGAACATGAAGAATGTGGGATGGTGACACATGCTGAACTCCCAGCACTCGGAGGCTGAGGCAGGGGGATCTCAAGTTAGAGGCCGGCCTGGGCTACACAGTAAATAAATAATTGAAATCCAGGACTCCCAACGCCCAAGCGTCTCAGCACCATTCGTGTGGGTGGTGTTGCCCGATACTGGGGAGCTGGGTGGTGGACACAGGCTGTACCCCTCCACAGGGTAGCATGGAACTCAAGACATGTGGAGATCAATTGTGCATTTGGGGCTGGAGCAGGGTCCAGCCGAGAGGGGAGCAAACATGCCGCTGGGACTCGAGTGTGGCCTGTCCCGCGGGCGTCCGGCCCTGGTGCTCCCATTAACCACGGCACAGACGGCTCTGAGGATGTTCAGCTTTCAGTGTTCTCAGCAAACTGGGAACGTGCGCTTTTGGTCCTGTCAGGCGCTTTCCCCCTTTCCACTGTGTATAAATAAAGGTGGGGACAGCTGGGTTGTCAATGTCTATCCATCAGAGAGGCAGGTCCCACCGGCTGCCCACGTTCCTGTCAGGGTGCGTCCTATTCTTTCTAATCTCCTATCACTCCTGAGGACCCTTCTGGCTGTGGGGCCATAGCAATGACACAACACAGTCCTCTTCCTGGGCTCGTAAATCCCACGTGACGGCCATGTAGCACCGCTGTGTCCGCAGGATGATTGTGGCGGAACTGCAGACCCCGCCTCTAGCCCTGCGGCCTGTGCCCTCCCACTGTCCCTTCTGGCCCTGGGATGTGCTTGTCACAGGCTCAGAAGTGAGCACATCGATATCCATATCTGGAGACCCCCAAGGCCCAGAGGCAGCAATTTGCATCTCGATATCCATATCTGGAGACCCCCAAGGCCCAGAGGCAGCAATTTGCATCTCCTCCCTCCTGTAGCCCAGGGCTGACCTGACCTCCGGGAAGTTCAGGCCAGGCTCCTGGATGCTGGGGGCCTTTTAGGCAGAGCCACCACCCCGCTGTGCCGGAGCTGTCACCAGAGTGGGGATGCCATGGCAGATCAAGACCTCTGCTCCCACCAACCATGCGGGGTGGCAGGGCACTCAGGGTCACAAAGGACGGGTTTTCTACAGGCCATGGGCGCTGCTGACTCACCTCCTCCTCCTGCTCCTCCTCATCGTCATCAGACTCAGGAGCACCGTCCAGTAGCTCCTCTGTAAAGGAGAGGTCAGTGAATGACCGAGAACCCAGGGGGAGCCTCGGTCGACAAATCTGGGTCCCGCAGCCACACTGAGAATGGCACTGCCACTCCCAGCCACGCCCATGCCCATGTCTTAACCTTTTTAATTTTTATTTCTTTCTTTTTTTTTTTTTTGTCTTTTTCCTTTTTATTGGTACTGGGGATCGAACTCACGACTGCCTGCTTGCAAGGCAGGTGCTTATGCCGCTGAGCTAAATCTCCAGCCCCTTTATTTGTTTTTTTGAGGCAGGGTCTCCCTATGTAGTACACGCTGGTCTTGAATTTTCGAAGATTTTTTGTCTTAGACTCCTGAGTGCTGGGATTACATTCAAGCACCACCACACTTGGCCTCTTAAGTGCTTCCAATCTTGACCCCTCCAGCCACTGTCTGATATTCTCTTTAGCAGTGTTTAACAAATCTCTCCATGTTTATTAGAATACATTTTGAGTAGTGTGGGAAAAACTAAAAGCCAGTATAGAGCTTGAGGGAACTTTGGGGAGGAAAAGAAAGTATTTACAACTTGGCCCTGCACCAATGCAACTTCACTGAATCCTTGGGCCAGCCTGGGAGACAAGCGCCCCTCAGTCTGGGGTAAGAGAGGGCGAAGGCTTTGCTGGTCATCCTCTCCGTGGAAGCTGCGAGCTGAGCCTCCGAGCAGGCTTCTAAGCCCCATGACCGAGGGATGGGGTGACCAAGCTGAGGAGGAGGTGGCTGTCCCTCGGATCTAACCCATCTACTGTCCTGGTCATGCGGTCCTGGGGACAGAGCACCTGGCTTATGGCTTCCTGGGTCCCCAATGCAATTTCTTTTTCTCTTTCTCTACTGTCCTGGGGATCGAACCCAGGTTATTCAACCCCTGAGCTCTCTATTCAAGTCCCCCGACCTTTTCCATGCTTTATTTTGAGACACAGTCTCATGGGTGACCCAGGCTGGCCTCAAATTTGCAAACCTCCTGCTTCAGCCCCCTAGGGTGCTGGGATTTCAGGTGAGCTCACGCGCCTAGCTCGTACCTTCCTTATTGGCACTTGTTTCTTGAAGGCAAGGCAGGAAGGCACAGAAAGGTTGAGAGGAAAGAGGGCGTCAGACTGGAGGCAGGGGGAAGCAGCAGCCTGGGCTGTGTGTGAAGATGGAGTGGCTGGCTTAGAAGGGGCCAGGCAGGTGCCCTGGGTGACCAAACTCCCCGCTGAGGGAGAGGTGGCCACTGACTGCCCTGTGAGGCCAGTAGGTCACTGACATTGGTTCCCAGCCTCCCATCCACCTTGGGCCACTTTGCTGCCACGCAGCGTGGAAGCGACCGCAGCCACAAGCCCGTGTGTCACTCTGTACTCTGCTTGGGACTTCTCGAGCTCACTTCCTGCTGCACACAACAGTGGCTCCTGACTCCAAGCCACCTCCAAGAGGCCCTTTCAGAACAGTGGAGCTCATGCTCTGTCCCCAGGACAACACGGTCCCTGCAGGTCCCAGCACCTCCTTCCTGGGACAGCTGTGCCCCATGCAGCCCCTGAGTGGCCCTCGAAGCCCCGAGGTGCCAACCTGAACAGGTGGCAGGGTCTGGTGCTAGACATGGTCCTCTCTTCCTTGAGCAACCGGTCTCTGCCGGTTCCCCACACCCAGGCTGGCACAGTGGCCCGGGCAGGCCAGAGCATACTCCCCTCCATGGTTGCAGGCCTCACACTCTGCTCGGCCCAGTCCCAGGCTAGGCTTGTCCCTCAGGCCTCACCAGGGTGATCCCTGCCCAGTGATGCAGCCAGACTCCTAAGTTTACTTCTAACTCTGCACTTGAAGCTGTGAATCATGTGCCAAAGAATCAGTCCTGGAGGACGGACACTGGCCCTGGACATGTGAAAACCTGCTCCATGCCTGCGAGCTACCCAGGGTGAAAGCAGGGAAAGAGCCCGACCCCCTAACAGAGTGTGGTGATGCCATCGTGTGAGTCTCAGACCGGGAAGGCGGCACCGACCCATAAACAGTCGTTTCCAGCAGGGACACGAAGGCACAGATGGTCTACCTCAACTGGGCACTGGTGACATGTGTCTTGTTTCAAAGGAGCAGCTTTGGGGCTGGGGTTTAGCTCAGCGGCATAAGTGCCTGCCTTGCAAGCAGGCAGTCGTGAGTTCGATCCCCGGTACCGGTAAAAACGAAAAAGACAAAAAAAAAAAAAAGGAGCAGCTTCCTGGCAATCACCCCTGGTGACCCACCTCTGTCCCATGGTAAACAGCAGTTTAGGGACGTCAGCCAGGTGTGGTGGTGCACATCTGTAATCCCAGCACTGGGGAGACTGAGGCAGGAGGATTGCTATGAGTTTGAGACCAGCCTGGGCTACATGGCTAGCCCCTATCTCAGAAAACCAGAAGAAAAAAAAGCAGTGACTTGTGAACTTGAGATGAAAAAAGAAATATTCTCATCCCTGTATGTAAACAGGAACTCGCTGAGCAGGCGGGCATTTTCCAGCCTTCCAGAACATGCAGGGCTGCCCAGCTGCGCCTCTGCCAAAGCAGATCCCTTACAAAGGCCGCAGCTGTCTCTTCCCTCGTCACCCTCTGGCACGCTTGCCAGGGATTGGGCTTGTGTGAGAGAAAAATGTCTCGAGGGCTGGAGAGCAAATGGAGCCTGCATCCTGCCCCGGCTGCCAGCCGGGAGGGAGCCCGGGGCGGAAGCAGCTGGGCTGGCTCTCCTGTCTGGTTGCACGGATGGCAGTAGCAAGAGAATCCCAAGCCAGACGTGGCCTGTGAGGGGCAAAGGCCGGCCTGGGAGGGGAACCAGTAGCAGAAGATAAGGGGCAGCCTCGGCCAGGATGGAGGCCAAGGTCTTGTTTTGTTTTATTTGCCAGGTGTGGGCAAAGTCATTGAAGAAAACCAAGTTCTATCTTTTGCCTACCGGAGCTTGGGATGACTTTTTCTCACTCTGTGGGCATCAAAGGGAAGGGGATTCAAATGGAAATGGGGCTGAAAAGAAGCAAGGGCTGCCAAGCCCTGGCCCTTCACCCCACCAGTGCCCACTGAGCCAGGAGCCCCTGACCTCCTTCTTCCCCATGCCCCACAGCAGTGTTCCAGCTTAGCGGCCTATGGAGCCATCTGAGAGCCTCAGAGTGCTCCACCAAGGGCCCCAATCTGACAGCATGGGCACAGCCCTGAGGTCTGTCCTGTTTGCCCTGGTGGCTGCCTAGCCGTGGCAGCGGAAGACAGGCCAACTGTGAGCTTCTGGCCTCCTGGGTGCTGGCTGTGGCCTGGGTGCAAGGACACAAGTGACAGCTTCGTCCCCAGAGGCTGGCAAAACTTGAGGCCTCTGTGTCAGGGGCTTTCCAGCACCCCACTGCCCCAGGCTGCCCCCTGGCCCCCTTCTTGGAGGGGATGTCATCATGGTGACAGAAAGGACAGCTGACCAGCACACCTGCTGCTGCAGTGAACACAGGGACAAGGGCAGGACGGGGACACTTTCTCTGAAGATGTGATAAAAACTGGCCTCTGCCCTATCCGACCCTGGTTCCTGTGGCAGCGGGAGGAGCAGGATTTAGGAGGGGCCTGGGACTGGCCCGTAAAGAGAACTGTGGGTTAGGGAGGTGCTTCTGAAACAGTTTCCTGGCTTTTACGGGCTTCGGGTCTACAGCACAACAGAGGTCGTTAATCTGTGGAAAGTCTGGCCTTGAGGACCTGGCTGAACCTTGGTTTTCATGCCCTGAGGAGTCACAGCCCCAGGGAGCCCGGCGTCCGTCCCCAGGCTTGGGTGGTGGATGTGCGGTGACCGCAGTGCCGGGACACTCACCAGAGTTGAGCTGCCTGATGATGAACTCTATCTGGCGGACCATCTCGGCGCTGCCCTCTCTGATGAAGCAGCGCAGGATCTCCTCCATACCCTGCAGCAGAGAAATTATCCTCTTTTGCGTTCCTTATAAATTTTACAACAATTAGGGAAAAAAAAATCACTGTAAAATCTCACTGCCAATTTCCCCTCAGTTTGGGCAATACGTGATCTGGGCAGGTGACTTCCTTCCTGTGTATTCCCTGAGCTTATACATCGCCTTCTGGATTTGAAGGACAAATATGGATTCTGAACAGTAGAACCATCTGTTTAGAGAAGCATATGGACAAACAGCAGCTCTTTACATGAGCCATTTTTATTTATTTATTTTTTAGATAGGGCCTTGTTATGCAGCTCAGGCTGGCCTTGAACTCACTTTGTAGCCCAGGCTGGCCTCGAACTCGAAGTGATCTTCCTGCCTCAGCCTCCTGAGTGTGAGGATTACAGGTGTGTGCGACCACTCCCAGCTAAAGACTTGCATTCTTTTTCCATCAGAAGATGTATTTGTGGAGAGCCAGGGGCCTGCGCATGGCATCACCTGCAGATTATACATCGAGTCTGACAGGCACACCTACGGGCTGCTGGGTGGGTGCTGCAGATCTGGTAGGGGTCCGAAGCTCAGCAGCAGCCATGGGGACAAACAAAGTGCCACCCAGTAACAGCAGGGAAAGAGGAGTGGGGTGCGGGTGGGGCAGGGCCCAGAGCCCAGGACTTCACTGCATCGAAGCTGGACAGGCATGCATAGGGCCCTACAGTGGAGGAGGCTGAGACAGGAGGGACTACCAAATGTCCGCGAGCCCCACTCCTGTAGGATGTCAGACAGTCCCTGGCCAGTGTCTGCCTTGGCCCTCCACAGCCAGGACAGCTGACCTCTGTGGCTCCATTTTCTATACCAAAATGCCCTCAGGCCTCCGTGTAACCCCACATGAGGGCCAGGAGAAGGTAAGTATCACCTAGGGACAGCGGTGGGACTGGGCCCAGTGTGCCTGAGACCACAGTGATCACTGGCCATCGAGGAATGGCAGTGTCCAGGCGGTGTCCCCAGGGTAAAGAAAAGGACAAAGGGCCCATTCAGGCTCCCTTGCCCTTATCTTTTCTTCCTTTGCGTTATTTGCAAGCGATTATCCACTCACAGCTTTAAAGATCTTTTTGTTCTCGTTTACTTGTTCATATATTTCTAGCTCCACAGTTACGTGGCAGACAAACAATGCCATCCTCTGTAACGAGGGTCACTTGGAGACACTTTCTTAATAGAAAACACTGCACAGAGAAATTCTGCTTATTTTTTAAAACCGCATATATCGGGTAATGTTTAATCTAAATTGTCCCAAGGAGAAGTCATAAAGATGAGAGTGTTTTATCCTGAAAGCAGTAACTTTTCACTTCAGAGGATCCTGGCCAACTGCCCGGCAGATGGGAGGATGATAAGCATGGCATTTGCGATCAGCTCCATGCAGGAAACGGGGGTGCAGAGAGAGGCGCCCCTGCCCCTGCCTGCAGCTCCGCCAGGGGACCATGGGGAAGCCCGGCTGGCACCCCTCAGTTAAGATCAGGAATGATACACACAGGGAGACCCTGTGGGGAAGGGACCCGCGCCCTGACCCTGGGTCACTAACCCTCACATGTGGCCTCAAGGTAACCCTTTGAAACATCCCGCCCGGCCAGTCTGTGTGTGAGACAGTTTCACCATGCAGAATTTTTTACATGCAGCTTCAAGTCTGTGCTCATGAGGTTTCAGATTCTGGACATTTCAGAGTCTTGCTTTGGACTGGGGACACTTGGCCTGTAACACTCAGAAGACCATGTCTGGGTCCCAGCCGCTACGGGAGAGACCTGGACACCCCTAATCATCACTGGGTAGGAGTGGACATGGCTCAATGGCAGAGGCTTGTCTAGGGAGAGAGACCCTGGATTCCATCCCAGAAGGAAGGAAGGACAAAGGATGGAAGACAGAAGGACTGAAGAAGGATGGAAGGATGAAGGGAAGAGGAAAGAAGGAAGGGAGGGGAAGGGGAAAGGGGAAAAGAGGAAAGAGAGCGGCAGCTCCGGCAGGGAGTCCAGGCCGAAGGCCCCAGGCAGTGGCAGAAGCAGGGGCACCAGGTCCCCTGCACACCTTGGTGTCACCAGCAGCAGGACAGTGCAAGCACAGCCCCTCTCCAGGGTGCTGAGGGGACTGTGGGCTGAAACACCTGTCTTGGGTGTGACACTGGGCATGAGGGACATGGTCCTCCTGGTTTCCATCCTGTATCTGTCTACATGGCAGCGCATCCCTCCTACAGTCCTCGGAGTCCCAGACTGGACAGTCAGCTCCTCTGTCACCACAGGCCTCTGAGGGACATGGTCCCCTTAGAAATGCAAACACCAGGCAGATGCCAGGGTTTTCCCCGCAGTTAGGAAATCACACAGGTTTTCAGTAGGACATGCACAAGCTACAGAAAAAAGGGTGAAAATCTCTGCCATGCCCCTCTGGAGGTCATGGTGACAGTCCTGGGGTGCTTCCTTCCTGTATGGGGACCGCTTCCCATCACCGAGTGCACGCTGACAACTTAGTGCTGTGGTTTAAATGCACGGGTTAGAAATGCTTAACAGACAGCCCTGAGCAGCGGTGTAGCTGTAGCTGCAGGAACAAACAATAGTCACAGTGACAATAACAGCTATGATGGCAACAACAACAGTCATAGGAGGGCAGCAGCTGAGGCCTGTACAGGGAAGGCGGGGCACATACTGGGTGCGTCCTCGTGGGCTCAGTGACCCCTACCACATGAGACTGAAACCAGACTTGGCAGAAAGCGATTTGCACCCAGCCCTGGGCTCATAACCACCTCCCCTCTCCTCAGCTGGGCTCTGGCTTCCCCATCCCCTGAAGCTGGGCGCTCAGGCTGTGCCAATTTCCATGGCACCAGGACCGCTGTCACCAGCACACAACCCAGAGAACTCTGTGGTCATGTTGAGTGTGAGGCTCCAGGAGCAGAATTACTAGACAAAAAAACAGGCACACCTTTTGAGGATAATTATATACATCACTGAAACCAGTTTCCAAAACTGCTGTGCGTGGGAATGGTCCTCTTAGTAAACTCCTCACTCGGGACCGGACCTCACTCACTTCTCAGCCAGGACCATGAGTCCCCGCGAGTAGGCCCACCCCTGCCACACACAGTGCTTTTAAGCTGCATCTGCACCCTGCATTTGGTTTCCTGGTGGCAGCCAGAGCCCGCAGCAGCTACCAACACAGTGGGGTGCGGGCACAAAGCAGGATGCTGCCAGCGACACACCCTGCAGATTCAGAGTGGGCGGCTAAGGATGCACACAGGTGGAGGACCTGTCCTTTGGACATGGGGAAAGTGAGACAGGAACCCTGGCTTGGCCACGCGAGCTGTGGGTCCAGGGCCACTGTGTGGGGCGGGTGGAGCACCACTTTCCTATCTGGCAGGGCACATGGTCTGGTCCAGCCCTTTGTGGACACTACAGTCCCGATGCCAGGGAGGGTCCAGGCTGGGACCACCCTGCCCCAGCTGCAGGAGCTGCACAGCCCCAGGGCAGCCCTGTGTAGCCCTGCATCTCCTCCAGCCCTGGCCCCGGGCAGCTCCTGGAGTGTGCACGGGTCTCTGGGTCTCATTTCTGTGCCCCTGCTTTCTTTGTAAGACCAGCAGAGCTGGGAGGCTGCACACCTCTCATCCCAGTGTTAAGGTGGTGGAGGCAAACGGACTTTTGTGAATTAGAGGCCAATGCGGGCTACAGAGTGAGTTCAAGGCCAGCCTGGGATACACAGCAAGACCAAAGAAACCAAAACACCAAAAGCCACACAACACAGGTGCGTGCGCACACACACTCGCGCACACACAAAGTATAATAGTATTTGGAACTAATTTTGAATGCATATTATGTCACTTTCCATAATCACACAAATGTTTTGTCCATTTGCCCAGTTGCAAGCCCAGAGTTTTTATATTCGTACGATATGTTCTCGGTGTGTGTGTGTGTGTGTGTGTGTGTGTGTGTGTGTGTGTGTGTGAGACGGGGTCTCACTATGCAGTGCAGGCTGGCCTTGAACTCACTTTGTAGCCCAGGCTGCCTCAAACTTGCAGCAATCCTGCTGCCTCAGCCTCCCCAACGTGGAGATTACAGGTGTGTGCCCCTATGCCTGATTGATACGTCTGGCTTATGAGATAATAAAGCAAAAGAACTGTAATTTCACCAATAGGTCCTTTCTCCTCGGCACTTTCACTTTTCTGTGTCCCCTGCTGTGAAGCCACATCCTGGGCACCACCACATACTGGTTCCTCTGCGCCCACAGCCCCAGAGATACCATGCCTGGGATGGCGCTCCTGGAGCTCTGCAGGGCCACATGGCCCTGGACCCAGACCCAGGTGAACTAACTGTGCAACACCAGACAGAAGCCTAGGCATGCACTTTTTCTGCTCGGTTCCAGTCTTCTTTTTATAGTAAAAACTGCTGCCGGGCGTGGTGGTACACACCTTTAGTCCCAGTGCCCAGAAAGCTGAGGCCAGCCTGGGCCACAGAGCAAGTTCAAGGACAGTCTAAACCACATAGTGAAACTGTGTCTCAAAAAAAAAAATTGTAGTTTAATAAATTTAATTCTAAAAAATAAATAAAATAAAAAAACTGCTGTGTATGTTTTTTACCAGATTTCACCCTCGCCCTTTAGCCTCCCTTCTCGTGACTCCTTCCTGGCCCCCGGCTGCACAGATGTTACTTCCCCAGAGCCCGAGGCTCCACACCCTCCCGGGGCTCTCTTCCGGCCTGGGTGGTGTCCTGGGCCATCCTGGTCCGTGCTAAATGTGTGTGCCTGAATTCCAATGTGTGCACCGCTTCCCTGGTTTCACAGGGTGTAAGGAAAAAGGACCAGAGCGTAGTTGTTTTGCTGATGGATCACGAGGCACTGGGCTCTCAGTGAAGACAGATCACCCGATGAATGTGTTCTGCTTCAGACACAAGCATGATGCAAACCCATCATCGAGGGAGCCCACGCTGCACCCAGCAGCCCATGAGGAGGCTCATACCACCTGTGCTGCTCGGGTACCTGCCTGGCTGCTACCCAGCAAAAACTAACCCTACTAGAGACGCTCTAAACTGGGCTCATAATCATTCAAATTCAGGGATTCCCTTGGTTTTTGAGAACAGCTACAGGATCTCCAGGAAACAGCAAGCACAGATGTCACATTGTGCCAAGGAGTCCATGAGCTACATAAGAGTCTGGTCCCAGCCCCTGGGGCTCTAAGCCACAGTGCAATAGGCTGAGGGGAGCCCCCGTGTGGCCTGCATGTTGTCCTGTCTCTCTCCCTTCCTTCCTTCTCTTCCCCTTCATTATGGCACTGTGGATTGAATGCAGAGCCTTTCTGCTGGGAGAGCTGCATTCCCCAGTCTCTTCTGTTTTCAGACAGATTTGCTTAATTTCCAGGCTGGCTTTGAGCCTGTGGCTCTCCTGCCTCAGCCTCTTCCTGAGAAGCTGGGATTAGCAGCACACTTGCTTACCATTGCTCTGGCCTCTTCCCGAATGGACGGAATGGAAAGGATGCTATACAGAGCTCCATTCACATAAGGCTGTATCTACAAGGGGAGAGAAACACAGTCATTTGCGAGTTTCCAAATACTGCAAACCCAAGTAGTTGGCATCACCGTTGGGCAGGAGGACAGCAGGCACCGTAGCCCAGCCGAGCCCAGGAGGAGCATTTTCGGATGGCACAGGCCACCACCTGCACACTCCAGTGACAGCTGCAACTAAGTCCAAAACCAAACTGTATCTGCCTGTGATCCTTGCTCCTGAGACTTCTTTTGCCCAACCTTCCCAATCCCCATGACTGCACCCTGCTGACCCCACTGTCCTGTCTGCCACCCCACATCCACACAGCTGTTCCCGTGCAGAGAACACCCAGTGCTGTGGCTGCATCCACACCCAAACCCATCTGCCTTTGATGGTCCCCTTTAATCTCACAATGTATTCCAGGCTGGTTTCAATCCTCCTGCCTCAGCCTCCTAAGTGCTGAGATTACAGGCCCGATTTTGATTGTGGCATCTTTTTCCATACCAAAAAACTTGAATATGCACAGAGTCAAACAAGAGTGCATTTGGGCCCGAGAGGAGTTATGCCTGGCTGGCATGTGTGATGGGGAGGAGACGGATGTGTGGGGACCCAGCAGCCCACCAAGATAACACTGCAGCGCCCCATCTGTCAGGACAGGTTCCACTGTGGCACACTTTCTCTCCTGCACCTCTGCTTTATACAAAACGGGCTTCAGACCCCTAAGTTGAAAATCAGAAAATAACAGTGGCTATGGGGAGAAAGCAGAGGCAAGTCAAACTGATCCAGAGGCCACAGGGCAGCATTCTATGACCCCTGGGCCACGCTGGGGATTAAGCCCAGGGCCTTTGCACTGAGCTGTGTCCCCAGCCATTTTCCTGTCTTTTTGTTGGGTGGGAGGTGAGGGACAGGGTCTCACTAAATTGCTAAGTTGCCCAGGCTGGGTTCCAATTTGCCATCCTCCTGCCTCAGCTTCCCAAGTGCTGGGATTATAGGTATGTACAACCCAGGCCGGCTGTATCGGACCATTTTAGGCCCCCCATGTGGACTAAATGCACCAGGGGTGGGGTGTTGACGCTGGGCACAAGAGGTCCTGATGGGCGACAGGAGAAGGGGGAGGCCGAGAGGGAGCTGAAGCACGCACAGGAAGCATCTCCGCTCCCGAGTTCTCAAGGCTCAGAAGCAGCCAAAGACCTGGGCCAGCCCCTGACCCGTCCACCCCCGTACCTCGTGGTTCTCGTGGCCGAGGAGATCTGATAGCACCTTGAGCACCAGGCCTGCCACCTTGGCACATGCGTTCTTCCCTGTGGAGACACAGTGCACCTCAGCTCCAGCAATCTGTGGGCAGGTCGGGCTGGCCACACATCGTGGGTCCTCCATGACCTCGGGGTAGGACAGGGAATCCTGCAGTGCTCGCAGAGGCCTGCAGAGGACTCAGCGGGCCAAGTCCCCCTAAGGTGCGCTATCTGGGGGTGTTGTTCCTACTTCCCAGCAGGCCGGTTCCCCAGTGGTAAGGTGTCACCTGCTGCACACCACTCCCACAATCCCAAACACCATCACCACGCTGCAGGCAGATGGTGACAAAGACGAGCTGATCATGACTTAATACACAGTTTAAAACCTGGGGCTTCAGGCTAAGGCTCCCAGAAGAATGAGGTAACTCTCATTTACTCAGTCAACAAGCAGGTAAGCAGCTCAGAGGACAAACCAGTCAGAGGCAGAGCACTTCCCGCCAGGGCCTGATCACTACCTGCTTCTGGGAATGAAGCCCCTTTGTCCCCGGGACTGGGCAGAAATACCAAGGCCACCACCTCTGCCCAGGTAGGGAAGCAGCCTGTGAGGCCCACATGAGAATTCCTGGCTCATGGAGGGAGGGGCAGTGATCACAAGCATGGCAGGATGTCACTGCTACTGCTACCAACCTACCTCTGGAGACGCTGGGGACATAGTTTTTGATCTCAAGATTTGTACTGGGTTTTTTTTTTTTTTTTCTTTTTGGTCTTTTTCCTTTTTATTGGTACCAGGAATCGAACTCACGACTGCCTGTTTGCAAGGCAGATGCTTATGCCTCTGAGCTAAATCCCCAGCCCCTGGGTTTTGTTTTTGAGGTAAGGTCTCACTATGTAGCCCAGGCTAACCTCAAACTCACAGGGATCCTCCTGCCTCAGCTTTCTGTGTGCTGGGCTTCAGGTGGATGCCCAGTGAATTTCCTAACTTTGAACAGCGAAGGTGAAAGAAGAGGAGAGAGTTGAATCCCCCGTTCCAGGTGGGGCCTGCAGGTACAGAAACATTTCTCCTAAGGCCTGGCAACGCCCAGCCTGCCAATGCTGCCTCTGAGGGCCCACCCTCTCCAGGCCTGCTGGGTCAATGACCCGTCCCCACACGGACCCGCACTGCGGAGACACAGGTTCATGAGCAAGGCCACTGCGTACTCCAGGGTGTAGTCGGACAGGCAGTCGGGCTCCCTCAGCATCTCGATCAGCCAGAAGACCAGGCCGTCTTGGATCATCGCTGTCTGCAGCGGGCGCCTATAAGGACAGGACCACTGAGCTAAGGCACCCAGGGAACCTGTCTCCTAGGGGGGGCACGGCCACCAGCCATATGTCACAGAAGGGGGAAGATGGCAGATGGGGACTCAGCGTGGTTTCCCTGCTAACCCCACCAAGGACCTTCCACGGCCCAGGGCCATGCTGAGGTATCTAACATTCCCGAGGGCTCAGACCCCGGTGGGGCCTGCAGACCCAGCAGGACTGTCCCTCGCCACCCAATGGACGATCATGCAAGCAGCAGGCACCACTGGGGGTTCAGAGCTGCCAGGTAGTGGGAATAATGAATTACCGCCCTGCTGGGAACGAGTTAGAAAGATGAGGTCGTAAGGTGGTGTAGGCTTTCGGAGCTTCTTTTTGCAGATTTAGAACCAGCAAAGCAGTACTCCAGGAACTGAATGGATATTTAGCTTTGCCATGGTGGCGCAGGCCTGCAACTGTGGTGCTCAGGAGACTGAGGCAGGAAGACTGCCACAAATTTGAGGCTGCCCTGAGCTACACTATGGGGTTCAAGGCCAGCCTGCACCACAAAGCAAGACCCGGTCTTGGAAAAATTGAATGGATATATGTTGACACCTTTTGATCTACTTAACCCAGGAAACAGGCCCATCAAAAATCCTCTTCGAAAAATAGGTTTTTATCTAAACTTTTTTTTTTTTGGTACCAGGGATCAAATTCATGACCTCATGCTTGTGAGGCCAGTGCTTATGCCACTGAGCTAAATCCCTGGCCCTCATTTAAACTTTTTATGACCTATAAGCTTTAGGTCCTCTAATCTATATGAAATTTAAGAAAAAAAAAAAAAGCAAAAGTGCTTTCCAAGTGTGTCGGCTCATGGCTATAATCCCAGGACTCTGGGAAGCTGGAGGCAGGAGGGTCACAAATTCAAGCCCAGCCTGATCAACTTGGTGACTTAGACCCTGTCTCAAAATAAAAACTGAAGCTCCTGGCTTCCATTTCCAGTAATGTTTAAAAAAAAAACACAAAACACCCAAATGTCCACCAGCTGATGAGCCACCATGTAAGACACGGCCAGGCACAGGCAGGACACCCCTGGGTGATGGAGGCACAGAGCTCCGGTGGGGCTGTGAGGGTGGGGCCCAGGGAAGCCAAGCACGGAGAACCCAGGGCCACGGTCCCGGGGCTGGGCTGGGAGGGGACTCAGGGCTCTCTCTGCACAGATGGCTTTCAGTGTCCTCAGAGGAGGCTGTGCTGATGGACAGCTCTGAGACCCCTCTCGAATTCCTGCCTGGCCCATGTATGGTGCTGGGGCTCATGGAAGTAATGGGGTCCTGGACAGAGCTTGGGGGACAGAGGCATCCTCAGTGGCTGCTCCCTGCGTGTCCGATGTGTCACACCAGGTCCTGGCTGTGACTGAGGTGGGCAATGGGGACACAAGTAGAGGTGCCCAGGAGGCCCTGGCCCCGACTCCTCAGAGCCACGGCGCTCAAGGATGCTGGAATCAGGAGCAGCCTGAGGCTGCTGTGGGGAGAGACACAGCCCCGCATGTCACTGGCACCACAGTGGGTGGCACCAGGGGAGCCCAGTGGTGCCGCCTGCTCCAGCTTCCTTGACCCCCACACAGGAAAGATCGCTGCCCACCTCCTGGGGGGCTTCAGAGCTGAGTGAGCACCCCACACCACAGCCTGACCACACAGCAGCCCAGGTGAGCCTGGCCTGGTCATCACCTGAGGCTGAACTTCTGCAGGGCCCCAAGAACGTTCTCGCGGGTGACCACGTCCTTGTCCTCCTTCAGCCTGCCCTCTAGCAGCCGCAGCACCTGCACGTTCTGGACCAGGTAGAGACGACCTAAGGACACACCAGAGAGCGGGTCAGGATGGGTTTGGTTTGCTCCAGCATGGAGGGGAACTGGACGTGCGACCCAGCAAGGTGTGGGCCATTCCATGTCAGAAAAGAAGCCATGAGCATGGTGGCACACACCTGTAATCCCAGTGCTCAGGAGGCTGAGGCAGGAGGATCACTGCAATTCCAGGCTGGCATGGCCCAAAGAGTGGGTTCAAGTGCTATGTAGTGCTATGTAGCCTGCACTACATAGTGAGGCCCTCTCTCTAAATAAATAAGTAAATATTTTAAAAAGTAAAAAGAGCTCAAACAAACAGGAACTCAGGGGAGATCACTCCATCGTGTGAAACTGTAAATTCAGTCATGGTAGTGGGGCATCTGAGGGACCATCCAGCTTGTCCTACACTGAAGGGACCAATGCCTTGCTCACTGGAGTCAGTTTCATGGTTTTTCCAACTTTACTTTCCTTTAATTAGAAAGAGATAGAAAGAATATTACCTGCTACAGGCTTGAAAGAAATCCAAAAGGTATTGTTACAAAACCGAAAGCTTAATAAAACAGAAAGGCTACGGAATAAACTCCAAAGGCCACAAAATCTTCTCTGAAAGAAGCTACTGCAATGTGACAAGGACTGATCTCCACAAGAGACTTTTGATGAATTAAATAAAGTGATGAACTTTTTTTTTTGTCTTTTTCCTTTTTATCGGTACCAGGGATCGAACTCACGACTGCCTGCTTTACAAGGCAGGCGCTTATGCCGCTGAGCTAAATGATGAACCCAAGTGATGAACTTTTGATGAAAAATTAAGGTGGAAAATCTATCTTTTCTCGTGGGGTCGGGTGGGGCCAGGGCTTGATCCCAGGGCCTTCACACTGAGGTACATCCTCAGATCTTTTTATTTTTTATTTTTTGAGTCAGAGTCTTGTTAACTTGCCCAAGTGGGATCAGAACTGGTGACCCTCCTGCCTCCGCCTCCCACATGGCTGAGATTATGGGCCTGTACCACTTTGCTGGGTGGAACCACATCACCTCTGAGAAGTGTGGAATGCGAGTTCCTTTTCGGAGTCGAGGGCTCTCCCAGGCCCTCTCTGTCCCCAAGGGAAAGCGCTTACCTTCGGCCAGAGAGGCCACGGCGTTGACAAGTCGGGCCATGTATTGCCGGACCACCTCGCTCTTGGAGTGCAGCAGCTGCAGCACGGTCCTCTGGGGGACAGGGGACAGACACGGTGTCGGGGAGTGGGAGACCAGGCCTCTTGGGGCTCAGCCGGGAAATACGCAGCCCAAAGCCACCGGTGCAGGGAGCCTGGGTTCTCCACTGGGATCTGATGGACATGGATTTAGCGGACAGAACCCACCCGAATGTCTAAAGTAAATGAGTCAGGACGAAAAGTGGTGACACAGGAGGGGACCCCACATGACAGCTGCAGCATCCAAGATACATCTGACTGTGCCCTCCTCACCTGGCAGAACCGCAGGGAAGGGGCAAAAGGCTGTGTGCAGCACGGCGCCCGGAGCATTGCCCCAGACAGCGCGGGGCACGGGGTCCCCTGCTCTGCAGAAGGGTCCGGGAGAGGACAGAGCGGGGCCTCATTAGGCTTCTGCACAGCCTGACCAGAAAGAGTTAGAGCCCTGCCGAGAGGGGCAATGCAGAGGCCAGTGGCAGCATGGACACAGAGCAGCAGGGTACAGCCACTACCCCTCGGTGCCCCCAGGAAATTGTAGAGGAGCCGAGGAGGGTAATTCAGAGAACACTCAGAGCTCACACCCACGAGGTCCCACTCCAGGTCCGAGATTCTACTGCTCAAATCCTCTCACTTCAATGCTAGAACACGTGGCCTCTCCTGAACCAACCTATGAACTCCAGAGACCCAAAGGCCCACCAGGATGGTGCAACCACTGACCACCCAGTCAGGGCTCGAGGGCCTGTGACAGTCCAGAGGGCCCATCGGGGTGTGACCACTTCTGGTTCTGAGCTGGGAGGGGGGGGTCTTTGTCACTTAATAAAAGGAAGCTTGGGTCAAAGTCTCTCAGGAATCCCGCCCGCCTTCCAGGGCCGCTTAGCCTTATTATCTCCCTCTGTCTCTGCCTTTTTCTCTCTTACAAATAAAGCATCTTCCTTTGTTTTAAATTTCATTCCTTTACTCCAGTACTGGTGCTGAGTTTATGATCCCCACTGGCTGTGGAGCAGCAGTATGCATCCCCAGACATAACAGATCTTTGAAATGGCCACACTTCTAAAACCAATATCCTTTCTTTTTTTTTTTTTTTTTTTGGCACCAGGAATCGAACTCATGACCTTGCACTTGCCAGACAGGCGCTGCACCACTGAGCTAAATCCTCGGCCCCAGGGAAAGTAATCCTAAAATTCACATGGAATCAGAAGAGACCTAGGATAGCAAAAGCAATGCTGGATAACAAGGACAAGGAAGGGGGATCATGATTTCAGACTTTAAAGAGCATGGTATTGGCCGTGAAATAAGACAAAAAAAAAAAAAAAAAAACAAAAACAAAAACAAAAAAAACAAAAAACAGCTATGTGGACCAGTAGAATACAATAGAGATGCAGAAACAATCAAACACGTTCAGTTATGTGATCTTTGACAACGCCAGCGTCTTTCACAGCTGGCTGCCCATCTGCAGGAGACCTAATCGAGACCCCTGTTTCCCACCAGGTACGGAGCCAAAGTCATAGTGGGTCAAAGAACTAAATATTAAAGCACAAACACTTTATCTGCTGGAAGATAAAACAGGTAAAACTCCTGGAAGAGATGGAGGCAAGGGTGTTCTGAGCAGAACTCCAGCTGCACAAGAGCCAAAACCAAGAACCGACGAATGGGGTCTCAGCAGATTAGAAAGCTTCTGCACAGCAAAGGAAAGGGCGGGGTGAAGAGACGACCTACAGGATGGGAAAAAAATTGTCAACTAGAGAGGGCTAAGTACTAAAACAAATTAGACCCCCAAAATAAAAAAGCCAATCAAATCAATGGGCACCTGAAATGAACAGACACTTCTCAGAAGAAGAAATCCGAACGGCCAGTACACACACGAGAAAATGTTCAGTGGCTCTGGCCGTTATGGAAAGACAAACTAAAACAACACTGAGATCCCAGCTTACTCCAGAAAGAGAGACCACGATCACAGGTAAGAACAAAGGCTGGGAGAATGAAGCCCCATGCTGCTGGTGGGAACGCAAACTAGAGCTTCTATCATGGGAATCAGCATGGGGACCTCTCAAAAACCAACAGGAAATTCCATGCAACCAGCCACTCCCCTCCTGGGTATCTTTCCAAAGGAGTTAAAGTCATCCTGTTACAGAGATGACCCACACCCACGGGTACAGCAGCATAGTTCATAAGAGCTACATCATGGAAGTGGCCTCTATACCCATCAACAGATGCATGGATAAAGAAAACATGGCAAATGCCCACCATGGAGTACTACTCTGCCATAAAGAAGGATAAATTCGCGTCATCTATAGGGAAATGGCGGCACCCTGAGACCATAATGTTAAGTGAAGTAAATCAGACATACAATATTAAATATTGCATGATTTCTCTTACATAATAAAGTCAAAGTATAAAGAAAGCAAAATAAAATTTAAAAAAGAGAGAGAGAGCGCTGGCCAGAGGGGCCTGGGAGGGCAGGGCGCGGAGAGACGTGAAACTGCAGACACCTTAGAAAGGTGGCCGCAGGACACAGGGAGTCACGTCCCACAGACGTGTGCTGATGGAAACCATGTATATGTATGTGTTATCCAGCAGCTGCTTCGCACGGCCCTAGAGAAGTCAGGGCATCTTGACCAGTCTCCGCCGCTCCTGCTTACAGCTCCCCGGGGCCCCAATCACCGCGCCTGACCCGACCCCATCACAGCCCCACGCGGCCCCCGTCCCGCCCCGCACGCGACGCACCTGGCTGCGGCTGCGAAGGTCCAGGAGGTCGTTGCTGACGTAGGCCTGCAGCACGGTCTCCCGCTGCTCCCCGGGGTGCGACGTGGTCAGGCGCTGGGGGTGGGGGGACAAAGGCGACAGGACGCGGGTTCAGCACAGAGCACAGGGGTGCAGCCAGACAGCTGCGGGCTCTGAGCGCAGCCCGCACTCTGCAGTGGGGTAGGGTGGGGGAGGGAGGATGGGCAAGGCGTGTGCGCATGCGCGCGTGCAGCCCTGCATGGCCGCGGCGGCGTGGGCCCGGTTGCGATGCCCTGTGGGGCCGTAGTGGTGTGGGGACCAAAAGAGTGCTGCTGGGGGGCGCGTGTAATGCACCTGGACAGGTGGGTGTGGACAGGTGTGAGCGAGATGATGAGGATGCTGTCACTGAAGGAAGCTGTGTCACTGTGACACTGGCAAACCAAGTGCAAAAGCTGACAGGAGGGTCCAGCGGGCCTCCAGGGAGCCAGATGTTAAGGAGCAGGAGAAATGTACAACAATACCAACTCTTCTCACTGGTGTTTTGTTTTGTTTTGTTTTTGTTAGACCTAGGGATTGAACATAAGACTGCTGTACTGAGTACATTCCCAGCGCTTTTTTTGTGTTTTGAAACAGGGATTCTGCAAGTTGCCCAGACTGGGTTTGAACTTGTGATCCTCCTGCTTCAGCTCCCTGGAGTGCTGGGATCACAGATGTCTACCACTACACTTGGCTAACTTTGTCTATTATTTGGAAATTTCTTTTCTTTTCTTGTTTTTAGACAGGGTCTTATTGAAGTTCAGGCTGGCCTTGAGCTCACTTTGTAGCCCATGTTGGTCTTGAACTCGCAACAATCCTCCTGCTTCAGCCTTCCGAGTGCTGGCATTACAGGTTGTGCCACCACGCTCAGCCTTTGGAACTTATTTTTCATTTTAAAATGTTATTTATGGTAATATGGCATTGGCTTAATATTTACATGAGTTAGTAAATACATATTTTCAGCTTTCTCAGTTTTAATTTCTAGCACCGAACACACTAGAGAGAAAATTCAGGTAACTGGGAGCATCCTGCTCCTGGTGCTGCTGGCACCCAGGGCCGTCTCCGAGGGGGCGTAAGACCTCAGTGTGGCTCTGCCCAGCCGAGTGTGGCCAGGAGCTGGGGACCGAGGCGGGCTGTCGCACTAACTATCCTGCCAATGGGAGCTGAGTCTTGCTTTGGTCTGGGGTGTGGCAGGCAGCAGGAAGAAAGCTTTAGTGGAGTGGCCGGACACAAGCCCAGCAGCCAGCAGAGAGCAGACGTAGCGCTGGGCTTTGTTGTTGTTTCTGCCTTTGTGACTTCAGAGGAAAGGCACCTACCCAGCGCAGCGCCTGGAGAAGGAAGGCTTTCAGACGGTCGCTCCCCCAAATCAAATCCCTCTTCAGCTTCTCATAATCCAGGGAGGGCAGCAGGGGCATGTCCTGTAGTTTCCTGCTTGTGTTCAGAGAGAAAGGCGAGGTCAGCGCCCCAGACTGGTCAGGTGAGGACCAGCGGCCTCCAGCTGCAGCCGCCCTGCCCCACGCTCCCAGCCCAGCTCTGCCTGCTCTGCTGATGGATGGAGGTTTTATTTATTTTTGGTTGAGATGGTCTCGATATTAGCTTAGGCTGGCCTTGAATGCTGAGCGATCCTCCTGCCTCAGCCTTCTGAATGCCGGGTTACACAGGTTTTTATTCTTAAATCACGTTTTCCTAAAATGTGTCTCTGCCCAAACAGCTGTAGAGGTCACTGCAGTCCCTCCAGGCTAGGCTCCCTGTGACAGTGAAGAAGTCACCACGGGGCCACCTGAACTCTCTACCAGGCACCATGCTGACTCTGAGCAGAGCCCATCAGCATTCTTCAGCATGAAGAGTCCCACCCAGGGCCCCGCAGCCACTGTCCTGGTCCTGCCTAGGGAATCAAGGGACAGGACAGGCATCACCCAGGGTTGAGCTCGCTGTCGCTCCCATTTGGGCTGCAAGACCAGCACCTGAGTGTGACCACGTGGTGCTTGGCCACAGGACGGCATCCTGTGGGCCTTCGGGGATCTGATGGGCAGGACAGTGTCAGGCCACCTCCTCTGTCCCCAGCCCCCTCCACACATTCCCTTATTCTCTGCAGGTGACCCAGGCGGGTCACAGCAAACCTGAGGGCTTATGTCCCTGTCATTGGACTGCGTGCTCCCTACACATCAGTTCCTTCTTATCTGCACATAAACCCAACAGTTAGACCCTTCTTCTCATCCCCCAAGTGAGGAAACTGAGGCTCAGAGGAGTTATTTAAGCAGTCCCAGGCCATACAGCTGGTGTTCAAGGCCACGGCCACCTTGGACTTCTGAGTCACTGCTGGCCCAGGCAGCAGACCCGGGTCAGTGGGTCCGGAGCCACCCCGGCCCTGACCTCCAAGCCCAAGCCATGGTGTGGGTGGCACCTGGCAACCTGGACAGCTGCGCTCAGGTCCTGGAGGGCACAGCAAAGGCTTAAATCCTGAGACACTTCACCTGCAATCCCAGCACTCTGGGAGGCTGAAGCAGGACGATCACAAGCCCAGGCTGGGCCACTTAGGGATTTAGAGAGACCCTGTTTCAGCGTGCAGGGCCTGGCTGTGCCCAATAGCAGGATTAATGCGTTTATGTACCAGAAACTTTAATCTCTGAGGAACACCACAGGAGCAGTTCAGCGTTACCCCCATTCAATGCTGCCTCACCCACAGACAGCAGTAACACGAGCAGCAGTGCTGCTCACAACCACTGGCACCTCCCGTCCACTTAGGCAGCACAGCAAGTGTTTACAGAGCCACTCCTGACTCGGCTTCCTTATTAACAACATTCCTGGGCAGCGACTTACTCCGGGGCCAGGGAGGCACGCAGCATAGTTGAGGCCTGCAAGGAAGAGGAGAGAGCAGACGGCGGTGTTAGCATGGCTGATGTAGCCCAGGCTGACCGTGGAGCAGGAGATTTGCAGAGGTTGTCACCAGGCAGCAGAAGAACTTCAGTGTGCAGTGGCCCTGCGGGAGACCCTGTGGCACCGGCAGCATCCTGGGGACCAGCTCACCTCCAGCACTGGGATGCCAGCTCCCTGGTGAGGGGACCCTGAGGCCGAGCACCGGGCGCTAGACCAGGAGGCTGAGTTCCTCTGTCCTCAGCCTTAGCCTCTCCGTTCTGTAGACCTGCCCGCCTCAGCCTCCTTCCTCTTCCCCTGCTAACCCGGCCCCGGTCATGTCCGATTGATGCTCACTATGTTCCCTCATCCCTTCCTATGTAGCATTCCTCCACTGGGTCATTCTGCCCCCAGGGAACACGTGGCCTTGTCTGGAGACACTGAGTTGTCAAATGCAGGGGTGGCACTGCCGGCACCCAATGGGCATCAGACAGGGATGCTGCCCTGCACCATGCCCGTAAGGCAGGGTGGCCCAGCACTGAATAGCATTGACCTGAGCAAGGCCGCACCCTGTCACCTCTGCTCCCTGAGGGCCAGACATGGGCGGATACTCAGCCCACTTCCCAACTCAATGAACTGCTCCAGGGTGGGGAGGCGGCCATGGGGCAGGCACCACCGCAGTGATAGGATAGTTCATGCCGTGGGTGCAGGAACAGTCCCCGTGCTGCACTCCTCCCGCCAGTGCTCCTGGGGCTGCTCACATGACACAGGCCACGTCCAGGCCAGTGACAAAGGGGGACAGGCGTGGTCAAAGCCGTCCTCTCTGGCTGGCACGCTCTGTACCCGCTGGCCTGCAGATGGCCCCAGAGGACAGGGGCCACACAGATCAGCTTGGCCATCCCCAGGGTTTGGGGTGTGGTACAAAGCCCCCAGCCCTGCAAGGTTCAGAGAGAAACTGTCTCCCGGGTGTGGGGGTGTACACATGTGTATAGGAGGCTGAGGCAGGAGGATCGTTGTGAGTTCAAGGCCAGCCTGAACTGCACAGTGAGACCTTGTCTCAAAAAGACAAAAACAACAACAAACCTCTGTCCTGAGACCCAAGGCTGCCTTCCACTGCCAGGATCATGCAGCTGTCCCTGCTCTGTCCACATGGCCACCAGCTCTGAGCCACCTTTGGGGAAGCAGGGGACATCTGCTCCTTGCCTGTGCTCAGAAGCTTCCTTAGCCTCAGCACAGGGCTGCATGGCAGCTGTGTGACCATTGGTCTTCATAAAACATGGATTCAGCTTTGGTTTTAAATTATAAAAGATGAATACGTGAGAAAAAAAAGTAGCAGTCTGGGGCTCGCAGGGACTCCAGCACTGAGAGGAGCTACACGGGGTGCCCTGGCCTGGGGTGGGGGGTGGGACACCCTTGCCCTGTGGTGTCTCTGGGCCATGTGAGAGGCACACACTGCCTCAGCACAGCCAGAAGGGCTGCAGAAAGCCCGCTCTGGCCTTCAGCACTGCAGGTTACAACTGTGCACCTCTTCGCACAGGCTGCCAGGGAGCAGGGTTGCCTCTCGCGGGTACAGAGATATAGGGCAGGCATCTCAGTCTTAGGACCTTGCCTCCCTCATTTCCCTGTCTCACTCCTTGTGTTTATCTTTCCTTGTAATAAACTGCTTCAAAGACTCTTGAGAATGTGGGATACAGCAGCTTTTATTTTAAACACCAAAGTGGGGTTCTGTGTGTGAACGCCCTGCCATTAGTATGCAAACCCTCGTCTGTATGTCAAACCCATGGCTTTGACACACAGGTGCCCAAAGGGCATGCCCTGCCCTGAGCCAGGCGGAGTTGGCTCGAGCACTCAGGAGAGACCGTGTCCTCCCACGATGTCAATGTTGGGAAACCAGGTGGAGGTCAGACCCCAGCTCCCAGGGAAGGAGGCACCACCAGGGCACTGCGAGCGCCAATGACAAAACTGGAAGGGGCATCGGAGAAGACATGGCCTCAATGTTTGACTCAACGAAGTTGGTAGTTATTTGTTGTATAACAGGGTCTCCGTGTCCTCCTGCCTCAGCCTGTTGAGAGCGGGGTTCACAGGAGTGCATCATATTCTTAATTTTAAGAAATACATACTAATCTATAAATGTGTACCATTCTGTGTACTGTTCAGATGATAAATGAAAGAGGCAGCATTTTGTATTTAGGTGTAAAGGGCTGTGACAGATGTCAGAAGTCAGCTGTGTGGTTGTGCAGGATGAGGATGGGATGGGGACGTCTGGGGTAAAAGCCAACTGTGGCTGGGTCTGAGTAAGGGACACCAGTGCCATACGTGCTGTCACTGCAGCTTTTCTTTAAGTTTGTAATTATTCCAAAAAAGTTTAAAAAAAAAAAGAAAGGAAGGAAGAGAAAAAGAGGCGGCCCCGCCTTAGACCAGGCAACTCCAAGAAAGTAGCAGTTGGTTTTTTTTTTTTTTTATCGGTACCAGGGATCGAACTCATGACTGCCTGCTTGCAAGGCAGGCGCTTATGCCGCTGAGCTAAAACCCCAGCCCTTTTTGTCTTTTTGAGACAGGGTCTCACTCTGCAGTTCTGCTTGGCCTTGAACTCACTTTGATCCTCTTGCCTCAGCTTCTAGAGTGCTGGGATTACAGGGGTTCACCACCACGCCTGGATTAATATGGCTGTGTCTTGTTTTGTCATCTTTTGAGCCAGGGTTTCTTTGTGCAGGTCAGGATGGCCTTGAACTCACTGTGTAGCTCAGGCTAGCTTTGAACTAGCAATGATCCTCCTGCCTCAGCCTCCTGAGTGCTGGGATGACAGACATGTGCCACCATGCCCAGCTAATATAGCTGTTTTTTAAATTGAGAGAGCAAAGCTTTCCTTCCATTCCTCTGCCCCTGCGGGTCACAGCACTTCTCTCCTCAAACACTGCTTTTTCCTCTTCCCTGGCATTTCCACCCCTCCAGGGCTGGCTCCAGCACTTTCCCTGTCTCCAGCAGGGTTCACGTGGGATTTGGGGGACGCACTAGGGTTGGCCGCTCACCGTGCCGGGCCTGGTGAAGTCCACGCTGTGTGCCAGGCTCTGCCGCATCTGGCTGCTGAAGAGACGGACGCAGACGCTCTGCAGGTACTCAGGGGTGATCTGCAAGGGGACAGGCGTGAGAGGCAGTGATCTGTCGAGGGACACGAGGCCTGCTGTCCCTTGAGAGCCTCTGAGGGGTGTGGTAAGGAAACAGAGGAGCTGGAAAAAGAACTGCTAGCGGGAATCTGGAAGTGCCTGGGAGGAAGCCACACATGGACCTGACCCCTGACCGGGCAGGGAAAACCACCAGCGTCCTGCAGAGGTGACCGGGTGACAGTGCACTTCCAGTCAGGTGACTCTGCCTGGTGCATCTCTGCTGCTGGGAGAATAACCAGATTTGGGTTCAGTTTCTGTAAATTCAGGTTAAAAACAAAAAGCCACTGTGGCCACAGCGAGTGCCGCCAGACGTCGAGACAGAGAACCTGGCTCCTGAGTTAACTGCAACCTCTGCCCAGCCAGACGACGAATGTCCCCAGCCCTGTCACACCGAGGGCCCAGGTAGGCCTGGCTTGAGACTGGTGGGGAAGTAAACACCTGTCACCTGTTCATTCACAAGGTGAGCTGCACAGTAGCGAGATGTACGCTGTGCTTTCAAGTCTGCGCCCTGCTTCCTTCTCTGCAGCCCAGAAGCTTGCTCAAATGTGCTTCCTGCTGAAGTTGCAGCTCCTCCTCCTCCTCCTTTTCCTTCTCCTCCTCCAGCCCTTCTTCCCTGGCTACTCTCCCGCCCTCCCCCTCGCAGCAGGGCCCTTGGTGAAGTGCGGACCCCCACGAGAGTTCTCATGGCTCTCTGTGGGGTCCCTCGCTCCTGCGACTCCTCCCTTGAGGAGTGGGGCCACCACAACCACCTCCCCCACGGGCAAACCCAATGGCGTCACCAGCTTGCTCAGGACAAGAGGAGGAAAGACAGGCACAGACAACTGACCAGACCAGACCGAATAGCGTGACCAGTGATTCAGGGAGAGCAATTCAGATTCATACGTAAGTGTAACTGACAATGTTTAGGGCACCAAGTTTCCCTTACCAGGCTGGCAAAGATTTCAAGGTGCCACCCTGGACAGATCTGCTAAGTGCAGAAAAAGGGAGCTTGGAATCGCTGTTGATGTGTTAGAAAAATGATTTTGCGCCATATATCAAAATATGGATCCTTGTACCTAACCTGGCAACTCTACTGGTAGGATCTCACCTTTACTGAGACACTCAGTGGTAGACAGACGCATGGCTGGGGACCTCGCTTACCATTTTGCCGCTGACTGTGGCCTCCAGTGAGTCCACTAGCTCAGCCGTGACCCCGATGAGGTTGTGGTAGTCGGCCTGGATCTTATTGTATCGCTTCAGGTACGTCATGGACCGGCGCTCGGCCTCCACCAGCTGCTGGTGCAGCCGCTGCAGGGTTTCTAGGAGACAGTGGGTGTCAGAGCCCAGTGAGAGAACGGCGGTGGTGACAACCACAAAATCAAAAATAACCGAGAAATGCAAATTAAAACAACACTGAGATTTCATCTCACCCTAGAAAGAATGCCAGCCATAAAGAAATCAAATGATAACAAATGTTGGTGAGGTTGCAGGGAAAAAGGAACACTGCTCCACTGTTGGTGAGGGTGCAGACAGGTGCAGCCACTATGGAAAGCACTATGGAGAATTCTCAGGGGATTAGGATTGAAAGTTCCATTCAATCCAGCTATTCCCTTCCTGGGTATTTTCCCAGAAAAACTGAAAGGTCATGGTACAGTGATATACGTGCACCATGTTCATAGCAGCACAATTTGTAATAACCAGATCTTTGAAACAACGAAAATTCCCATCAACCACAGAGTGAATGAAAATGTCGTGGTATTTATATACAATGGAATGTTACTTAGCTATAAAAAGGGTGATCTTAAGGTAAATGGAGGCAACTTGAGCCTATCCTCGTAAGTGAAATAAATATGAATCATATTTATAATATAACATTGTGTCTCTAGTATAAAAACATAATAAAAATTGAAAGAGTAATAAGATCCAAAATGTATAATACATGTAAAAATGAAAGGAAAGGAAAGTGCTCTAAAGGATATACTATACGTGTAAGTGTGTAAGATAGATGACCACATTACTAAATTTTTGTTGGGTCATTGAACAGAATGGTTCTGTTCTGTTGAACAGAATGCACTGTCAATGTTCAAGTGTCCACCTTTTAGGCTTTGATTTTGTAACTTGAACAACTATCTCTAAGATGACAATATGTGACGTTGTATCAACAGTGATTTCTTAAGTGTTAATTTTTAAAAATTCTGTATTACTCTACCTTTTATTCTATTTTGTTTCTTTCTTTAATTAAATAAAAATAACTACATTCTTCTCCAAGGGTGACCACACCCATGCTCAGCATATTTTACCGTACCACTGATCTTGGCACTATTTAGGCCTAAAATTTTACTTCTATGTCATGCTACGTACGTTTACAAAACTCTTTGTAATCACTGATTTAAAAATTTCTTGTTTTTGCAAATTCAACTGAATCGTTGCTAGGTTTCCAAACAAAATCTCCTCCCTTGACTGAATCCGGTGGAAATTCTTTCTGTTCTTCTCTCCACATCTAAGAAATAAAATCAATGTTTTCCTACATTCAGCTCACAAATGCATGAGGTACCCTGTGTCTTTCTTTCTGTTTCTGTGCTATGAGGTCGTTTCAGGGCCAAGTCCTGTCTGGGAGACAGGTTTTCATTTTAATTAAAAGTTAGCGCTGCTTCACTAATCCTGGAAAAAAAATAAGGTCCAGGATGAGGTAGGATTTCAGAGCCTTCTATGGTTTGAAAAAGCAGAAAACCACTCCACCGGGTCTTGGCCCAAGTGGCCAGGCAGGCAGGGGGCTCTCTGCCAGAGTCCCCCACCAGCAGCCTGGAGAGCTGAGGGCAGGCCACCCCGGTCACTGCTCCCTACTCCGGGGCTGCATCTGGGAAGTGTGGCCAAGCTGTCCCCAGGGCTGCTGGCTCAGGCGGCCCTGAGTCTCGGCCTGGGAACAGCTCCAGGCACTCCTGGGGGTGGATGAGTGCGTTTCCACTGTGACCTGGACACACACCTCTGGGGCTGGGGTTGGGGGAGAGTCCTCACAGGTGCCTGTGTTGAGGCTTGGTCCCCAGGGTGGGAGGTGGGGACCCCACGCTAAGACCTGTGTCTCTCTGGGATCTCCAGAGCTGCCAGCTAAATAAGTCCTTCGCTTTCCAAGTTAAGGGCCTGGGGCATTTTGCTATGGCGACAGAAGGAAGAGAAACACCTGAGGTGACTGAAGTCAAAAACAAACATCCTGGCCTTCCTTTTTTATTGCGTTGTTTTGAGACAGGGTCTCAAAGAAATGTAGCCCGGACTGGCCTCGACCTGGTGCACCACCACGCCTGGCCTCCCAGTCTCCCTTATCTGACACCCTCAAAACCTTCCTTATGGGACAGAGCTGAAAATATTACCAATGTGTAAACAGAGAGTTAAACAATTTATAAACATTTTCTTTCTTCAAAAAAGATTAACTTTCTGAAAAGCACAAAAACACGACGGCAGAAAGTTTTAACGTCCTCCCTGATGTTATTTTTCTTCAAAAAGGGCAAATATGACATTTCATGGGCCAGGAATTTCACATAGCAAAACTCCCCCTGCTGGAGAGGAAGGTTGTACCATCCAGATTTATCAAAGGCCAGAAGCACACCACACGCCCTTCCCAACAGAGGAATTCAAGCAACTTCCAAGACACAGAACCATGATGAACATGGTGCACACACCTGTGACCCAGCACTTGGGAGGCTGAGGCAGGAGGGCTGCTACCAGTGCCAGGCCAGTCTGAGCTACATGATGAGATCTTGTCTCGAAAATAACTCCTCCCTCGGCTACACTGCCTGTGTTGTCCAGTGGAGCACGGCAGTGGCTCCCCCTCCGGTTCCCTGTTAGCTGCACCTACTCCCGGCCTTAGTCACCTTGTACGTGAGAGGAGCTCACACAACTTTGGCCCAGAAAAATGGGCCCTGAGGCCCTGGGAATACTTAGGCTTGTGAAACCCTCACTGACAAAGCCGTGAGTTCTCTCCATTTCTGGCCCCATGTCCCACTTTAAAACTTGACCTGGCCCACAAATCCTTGGAAAGTGTTTCTTCCAGATGATTTACCTTTGTTGTGCTGTGCATTCTCCTTCTGGGATGAGAAAGAAGTTCAGGAAAGTAGGCATTCGGTACACAATGCTGGGCTTGAACTTGAAATCCTTCTGCCTCAGCCTCCCAGAGAGTTGGGATTACAGGTGTTGTGCCACCATGCCTGGTGGTATAAAATAACTTTCGACACTATACTCGCTTGTTCCGAACAAGAGCTGTGTCCTTACAAACTCATGACTTTGGGAAATCTGTCACTAGGGGGCAACTGAAGGGCCTAATGTCCCCTTGGTACTCTGAGGGTCCCCACTGGAACTGGATTATGGTTGACAGTGGTACAACTTGACATTCTGGTGACCTGACCACATCTCTGGCACCTTGAGTCTCGGGCCTCTGTAACCACAACTGGTCTCCTTCGTGTCACAAGGATACATAGATTGTTAAAAGCTTGGGTGTGTTACTGGCTTTAAAAATTAACTCTAGAAATTTCTCCAGCTTTAACTTTAACTCCGGAGTCCAGGAATCCTGAAGTGAAAAAAAAAAAAAAAAAAAGAAAAGAAAGAAACAAAAGATAAGAACACTCACTTACCAAACATCCACAGGAGTGTCCAGCTATGGTTGGCAGATCCAGTGATATGGGAGCCACGAGCCAGTGGCCTTGCTGGCCATGTGACAGTGGCTGAAGGGGTGGGGGGGGAGTTCCTGGCAGGGGGGCACCGGGCCGAGGGGAGCATTTACAGACAGTTCACTACTGCAACAGGGAAAGGTGACTGTATACAACTAGGATATTCACTGTGATTTAGACACAAGCAGTCTTCCTAGGCTGAATGCCAAAAATGGATTCCACCAGCGGCTTAGGAGCACAGGGCAAGGGGGTCACAACACAAATGGTTATCGCTGAGTTCCAGATGGTTCCTGGGAAAGGGACCTGCTTCTGTACAGTTGGAGAGGTGAGAAAAAAGCAGGAGCTGTCACCTGGCACAATTATCTTCCAACAGGTCATGTAAGCATTGGGATACAGTTTTAATTTGACTTGTTCCTTAAAAGTAAGTTATTTATTCCAATGAGAATACTCATCGGGAAAGAAACAGAAAGCCAGGCATGGTGGTACACATATGTAATTCTGGTTCTCTGGGAGGCTGGGGCAGGAGGATCACAAGTTTGGGGTCACCCTAGGTGACTCAGTGACTTTGGAAAAACTCTGCCTCACAGTAAAAAATTTTAAAAAGGGGCTGAGAATGTAGCTCAGTTGCAAGCCCTGGGTTCAGTTCCCAGTACTACATTTCAAAAGAAAGAAACAAAGGAAGTCAGTCTTCCACCTAAACCAACAATTTCCACCCCAAAGCAATGATCTACAAAAACTTTCGACCACTGCGGCTGGGATCCACCCTGTGGCCCTCAGACCATCCCGGCAGCTCCTCCCTCCTCACCAGGGCGTTGGACCCTTCCCCATCCCCAGTCACTCTGTTCTGTGTGTCATCTACCAAAGGGCAGAAAGTCCTGGCTTTTCAACAGGTGTTTAACTCCCCAGCACGGCCTGGCCATTCCCAGTGTGTTGTTGTGGGGTGAAATGAAGCTGTCCTGACCTTGGGGCCTCAGGTCACCAGGCTGCTGGGGGGTGATGGTGGCAGATTGGTCACGGTGATGATGAGGTCTCCACGAGCCCCATGGCCCCCTGGGAAGGAGGAAGCCCAGACACAGGCACAGCTAGGGCCACCAGAAGCTGGAAGTAAAGGGAGGAAGACATTCCCCAGGGCCTTTGGGGGATGTGGCCAGCCCAAACCTGACCACAGGCCAACACAGCTTGTGCTAGGTCCCTGCCAGTGTCCCAGGCTTCACAGGACAGCGCTGGGGAAGCAACACCCAGTGCTCCGGCTCAGGGCTATCTGCATAGACCCCTGGCAGGTGAGAACCTTGGCAGGGCCTGCAGTGCTGGGCAACACAAATCAAGGCAGCTTACACACAAACAAAGCTGGGCACAGTGGTGCATGCCTTTAATCCCAGCATTCCGGGAGGCTGAAGCAGGAAGATCCTAAATTCCAGCCTAGCCTGGGCACCTTAATTAAACCTTGTCTCAAAATAAAAAAATGTTTAAAAGCTGGGGATATAGTTCAATAAAAACATCCTGGTCTTAATCCCAGGGTACCACCCAAAAACATATAAATAAACCATCACCTCCACCAAAACCACTCCTGGGGCCATGAAGCTGCCCAGGTAGGCCGCCTCCCTGCTTATGACCATTCTGCATGATGGGTAAACACCCATTTGCAGTCTAACTGCTCCCGAGATGCTCAGAACTGACAGAAACAGGGCTAGGATGAGGCAGGAGCCCACCCCCAGCCTCAACGGCTCCATTGTCTCTGCGCTTTCAGCCTGGGGAGGGATGCATCGGGAGTCGGGCGGCACGGATGGCCGCACGTTCACGGGGCACTGGAGAGTGGCTGGAACAATCATTCCATCCCACCCTTCTCCTCCGCTGTCTTCCTTTGTGCATGTGCACTTTAAGGCAGATCACAGGCTTTTTCTGATCGTTCAAAATCCCACTGGGGACCCGATTCAGGAAACGAACTGTGGCAGGCAACAGACAGACAGATGTCAGGCCCCGCCCTCCCCCCCCCCCAGGCTTTCCGGAGATCCCTCCTGTTCTCTCCACTCCTCTACCTAAACCCTAGCTCAGGTCCAGCACGCTCACCTCGGCTTCATGACGTCAGGTGCAGGAGCTCGCAGTTTAAGTCTCCACGTCCCCCACCCAACCTGGGTGGGGTCACAGGCGGGACTTTGGGATGTGAGTGGGGGTGGGGTGCTCATCTGTGGATTCATCCAACCAGTTTAGAACTACATGGGGGTGGGGGGGTGGGGGAGTGGGGGGGACCTGGTTGGAGGCGTGGTCTCTGGGGGGCGTGGCCTGCAGGGTCTGCTCCCTCCTCCTCCCTTGATCACTCCTGTTTCTGGCTGCCCGCCTTGGCGCCAGCTAGCTAAGGACTGAGACTTCTCCAAACTGAGAGCCAAAATACTTTTCCTCCTTTAACTTTAGGTGGCCAGCATTGGTATTGTTTCAGCAATGAGAGTGACTACACCACTTGACAACAAGTTTCCCATTCTGTCAACACTGCTGGACTGACTGTGAGAAAACCAATGCAAACAATGAACAGACCTGGCCGGGACAGAGACCGGCCTTTAAAGGAATCCTGAGACCAGGGAGCACCAGAGACTGTCCTGAGGGTGACTTCAAATCCAGGGGCCTTGCTCAGTGCTATGTGCTGCTGGGCAGGGAGGTAGAAGGTGGGACCCCTTTGGCACCCAGGCCCAAGGGCTGCAGCTTGGGACAGGTGAAGGATGAAAAAGCCACTAGAGGGGACCACAGCAAATGCTTCTGTCCCTGCCCAGTCACCCGCCTCCTGTGAGGCAGCCTAACCACACAGCACCCGAAGAAAGGCGACGGCTGAGGCTCATGCTATCTGTGAGGGCCCCAAAACCTTCAGAAAATCATTTAATTTCACAGTCTTGGATCGAATCTGTCTCAGGAGAACTGAACTGGAACTGGACCAGTTCAGTTCTGGAAAGAAACCTCTCCAGCCCCAAGAAAAATGATTTCACTGTGAAGACTAAAAACAAAGCAAGAAAACAATTGAAGAAACAAAGAAAATCAAACCTACAAAGGCATCTGATACGGAAATTAACTAAGAATACAAAATAAATGTTTAGTATGTGAAGAAATTAGACAGCCAAGGATCAGACAAATCTGAATAAAGCCAGAAAGAATTTCCATTTTAAAAACTTCATAGCTGTGTGTGGTGGTGCATGCCTATAATCCCAGCACCCAGGAGGCTGAGGCAGGACGGTCACCTTGAGGTTAAACCAGTGGACTCAAGGCCAGCCTTAACTACACAGCTGAGACTTGTATTGAAAGAAGGAAAGGAAACTGTGTTACAAATTCAATAAGAAGATAAGAAAGCAGATTAGACACAGCTAGTGGGTGAATCTATGAACTGGGAGAGAGATGTAAACAAATCATTCAAAAAGATCAAGAGACGGAAAACAAGAGCTGTTAAAAGGCAAAGAGGGTCTGATTATGTGGATACACAAGGTACTACTGAAATACGCACTTCAGACGGTCAAAATGATAATTTCATTATGCGTATTTTACCACAATTTTTTAAAATGAAAAAGTAATGTGGAGGTATAATGAGAAGTCTTATGTACCCGTGATCAGATACTCAGTGGCGCTAACAAAGGCTAACGGACAGCACAAACAGAATTTTCCAGGGTTGTTGAAAGACCAAAGTGTCACATCCGAGAAGCCCAATAAATCCTGAGCAAAAACAGAACTCTCTACCTGACTGAGGGGAAAGGCAGAGTCCTTAAGGCCGAGGAAAGAGATAGCCACACAGAGAGGGAGGATGTGATGCATGTCAGTCTAGATAAAAGGATTTAGTGAGACCAAAAAAGTCCATGGTGGTGCCCACCTGTAATCCTAGCACTCGGAGGCTGAGGCAGGAGGATCATGATAAATTTGAGGCCAGCCTGGGCTCCATAGTAAGTTTAGTGAGTTCAAGGCGAGCCTAGACTCATAGTGAGACTATGTCTGAAAAAACAAAAATTATGGTGCTAGAAAAGTTTATTAAACTGGGCTTGGTGGCACATACCTATAATCCCAACACTCAGAAGGCTGAGGCAGGAGAATCGTTACAAGTTCAAAAACAGCCTGGACTACAAAGTGAGAGCTCAAGGCCAGCCTGAACTGCATAGTGAGACTCTGTCTCAAACACACACACACACACACACACACACACACACACACACACACACACCTTTTTGGTCCTGGGGAATAAGTCCAAGGCCTCCATACTGATTTACATTCCCAGCCCTTTTTTATTTTGTTGTCATTGATGTCATTTTGAGACAGGTTCTTGCTAAATCACTAAATTGCCGGGGCTGGGGTCCAACTGCCAGTCCTCCTGCCTCAGCTTCCCAGGGGAGTGGAATGACAGGTGTGTGTCACTGTGTCCAGCTTAAACCCACTTTTCAAACCAAATGGAAGCCAGGTGGCCAGAGGTTAGCAGCAGGGCTCACAGGTGGCAAAAGGACAACACAGGCAGTTCTTTGGGGCAATTAAAGCAAAAACTGGGTACCCTGCCCCTGGTGCAGTGGTTATGGAAGTCAAGGGGTGTGATAAAATTCACAAAACTGTGCATCCCGAAGGTTCATCTTATTGCATCCTGGGTTTTTTTGTTTTGTTTTTTTTTTTAATTTTGGTACTAGGAATGGAACTCGAAATCTTGAGCTTGCCAGGCAGGCGTTGTGCTGCTGAGCTACATCCCGGCCCTGAATCTGTTCTTAAAAAAAAAATTTTAATTGCCAATCAAGCCAGTAAGAACTCTTGCTCCCTATAAAAGTGCACACTGTTTGTTTAGTTCTGTGGCAGCACTGGAGATTGAACCCAGGGCTTCCCCGACGCTAGGCAAGTGCTGGACCCCTGAGTTGTACCCCTAGCCCTTTCTATGTTTTTTTTTTTTTTTTTGTCTTTTTCCTTTTTATCGGTACTGGGGATCAAACCCACGACTGCCTGCTTGCAAGGCAGGCGCTTATGCTGCTGAGCTAAATCCCCAGCCCCCTCTATGTTTTATTTTGAGACAGTCTCTCACTAAGTTGCCCAGGCTGGCCTTGAACTTAAGATCTTAGTCTCACTATATATTTCAGGCTGGCCTTGAGCTCACTTTGTAGCCCAGGCTGGTCTCAAACTCACAATGATCCTCCTGCCTCAGCTTTCCGAGTGTTGGGGTTACAGGAGTAGGTACTGAGCCCAGTTTGTAAAACTACGCTGACACGGATATGCACGCTCGTAAAAGCTCCCGTGTTTGTCTTGATGGGTTTAGGAAGGGAATCCCACAGTGTGCCGCCCCTTGCATCCACCTAATGATTCTTCTGTGTTAATTTAGTTTATTATTCTCACAGGTGTACGCACAGTATTCCACTCATGACGGTAACATTTATTTATGCACACTCTTAGTGACGTGTAACCGGGCTGCTTCTAGCTTCTGTATCACAAATATTGTCACTGTGTGACTGCTCTGTGTCTCTTGCGATTTTTTCTTTTGAGACAGGGTTTCACCATGCAGTTCAGGCTGGCCTTGAACTTATTTATGTAGCCCAGGCTGGCTTGCAACTCAGGGCAATTCTCCTGCTTCAGTCTCCTGCGTGCTGTAATTCTTTCAGGTTTCCATGAACAAGAACACACATCACAGCTATTATGGGGGGAACAAAAAGTAAACCCAACACTAATTAACTATCTAATAAGAGAAAGACTAAGTAAATTAGGGCTACAGTAAAAAAAATAATGAGGCTGGGCAGGATGGCACACATGGGTAATCCTAGTGCTCAGGAGGTTGAGGCAGGAGGATTGCCATGAGTTCCAGGCTGGTATGGGCTATGTATACATGATGAGGGTTTGTCTCAAAATAAAACAGGAAACCACAGCAAACCAAGCCAATAATATGAGAATAGATTTTAGGCTTTTTTTTTTTTTTTTGAAACATGGTCTGAAACTAGGTAGCCCAAACTGGCTCAAATTTTCGGTGATCTTCTGCCTCAGTCTCCCCAGTGCTGGGATTACAGGTGTGCACCACCACACCTGACAATTTTAGGATTTTGAAGTATTGTGGAGACCACAGTGTCGCCTGCTCACAGCTGCTACCCACCTGGAAGAGCTCCTTAAAAGATGGGTGTGCCAGGGGGTTGGGCACGAAGGGGAGGGCATAGAAGGGCAGGAACTCCGTGGTCTGGCTCAGCGCCGCCCCTCTGGTCTCCAGGAAGGATCTGAAGTATGAAATCCGCTCATCTAGCTCTCGCTTGTCCTGGAAGAAGATGCTTGTCTGAGGGCTCCAGCTCCACGAGGCATCCACAGGGTCCCAGCCCTGTTGCTGGCATTGTCCCCAGGAAGCCTGATGGGCACACTGCCACCAGCCACTCTGACGCCACCTCAAAGTCACCCCAATACAATGTCACAGGGACACCAGACATCCACTTTCCCGCGTCCTTGAGACTTCATATAAACCAGAACATAAAGTAGGTGTGGTGGTGGCGCACACCTGTAATCCCTGCACTCAGGAGGCTGAGGCAGGAGGATCGCCACGAGTTAAGAGGCCAACTCGGGCTACAGAGTGAGATTTCATCTCAGGAAAAAAAAAAAAGGAGAGAGAGAGAGAGAGAGAGAGAGAGAGAGAGAGAGAGAGAGAGAGAAAATATGAATATCTGCGCAGGCACAGGATGGGAATCCCTGCTCAGGACGCAGGGTGATCCCTGACACTGCGCACACAGCGACCCAGGCGACCCACCTGCGGCCCAGCGCGGTATTTGAGCAGGTAGACGGCGAAGTGGATGTGCAGGTAGAACTCCAGCCTCTGCGCCGGGGCGTCCCCGTCCCGGACTGCGCGGGGCACGCGCTGCTCCCACAGGCGGAAGAAGGTCTTCTGGTCCCCGTCATCGAAGGCAGCCAGGAGCTCCTCCTGCGGGGACAGTGCGGGCCTTGCTGGGCAGAGGCTGCTTCTGCAGCAGCGCCCCTGCGGAGCTGAGGTATCGGGCCACGTCCCCCCACCCCCAGGTCTATGGCTGGGTTCCAGCTTCCAGGGACAAACCCGAGCCCTCCGAAGAAGAGTTGGGGCCCTGCAGGGACCCAGTACGGGACTTGCGGGCCACAGCAGAACAGGCTGCGTCCTTGGGGCCCCACTGGCCTGGAACAGAGAGCCCTGCGGACTGGGTGGGGTGGGGACTCGGCCACCGCACAAGGGCAGGGGCCACCGTGCAGCTGTGATGCTGGCGGGGGCAGGGGGAGAACAGAGCCCCTCTGTGAGACCCCCGCCCAGCACCCGGCTTTTGGCCACTGGTTTGCACATTTTTATTTTTTTGGTACCGACATTTGAACTCAGGGCCTTGCCCCTGCCAAGCAGGTGCTGTACTGCTCAGCTCCATTTTTGGGCATTAGTAAAAATGACCCCCCATATAATCTTGGTGCATGATTATTTGTTAGGTTGCTTGTTTGTGTTACAAAAGTTACCTCTGGCCACCTGCCACCTCTCACAGACACTGCTTCCTCCGGGTGACTCCTGGCTCCCTGGTGACTGAGGGACAGAAGGAGACCCCCCACCCCAGGGCAGCCTGGGGGGTGGCGGCCCAGGCACTCTATGATCTCCTGAGCGCCTAGGCACAGAGCCTCCGGGTCCTAGGCTTCCTTATCAGTTCCCCTCTCATCGTGTCCAGGCGGCTCATCCTCACTTTGCCCGAGCTGTGTTTGTGCCACTGGACCCTAAGCTGCTGCTGCCAGGTCACTGTAGTTGCACACGTGCCCTGGAGGACGCTGGCGCTGAATGTGTTCTGCTTGAAACATGGCTGGGGTTTTTTTGTTTTGTTTTGTTTTGGTGGTAGGGGAGTTTGAGACGCGGTCTCTCTGTGTAATTCAAGTTAACCCTGAACTCACGATGTAGCCCAAACTGACCTCAGGCTCACAGCAGTCCTCCTGCTTTGGCCTATGGAGTGCTGGGCTTACAGGTGTGCTCATCTAGCCCAGTGCTGCTCTCTGTCTGGGAAATCTACGGTGGTGGACAGACTTCTTGAATGGAGGGACAGAAAAGAAGCACTTGTGACCACCGGAAAGTGTCAAGGTCTGTCATATTAAAGAAAAATGGACCCCAAAATGTCACAACCACAGGGTACCACCCTTCAAACATTGTTACTTTCCAAAACCAAACAGAAAATAATAAGATTGGTAGAGATGTGGGTAAAACAGGAGCCCCCATGCACTGCTGATGGGGATGCAAACAGTACAATCACTACATAAAACGACTTGGCAATTCTTCAATAAATTCAGTTAACTAACAGCTGGGCACAGTGCTTCATGTCTGTAATCCCTGCACTCAGGAGGCTGAAGCAGGAGGATCACCTTGAGTTCAAAGCCAGCCTGAACTACATAACAAGACCCTGTCTCAGAACAACCCTTTGCCCCAAATGGAACCTCAGTGTGACTGCTTCTGCGTTTAGATCTGTGAAAACTGAAAAGGTCTTGAAGAGATATTTGAATATCTACAAGGCATGATCAAAAACTAGGTGACCTGGGGTATTGAGGTTTGTTTTGTTTTTTTACAGTAGGAGACACATTGCCACCCTTCCTCCCTGGCTTTCAACACTTAGCCCATCATCCTTGCCACTTTCTGAAGCAGCTCTGGAAGTGCTCTTTTTTGAGCGTCTTCACTTGTGATGCCGTGTCTGCCCTGAGGTCCCTAATTAATTCAAAGTGTTTATCTTTCCCAGTCATTTTGACCTTGTGGAAGAGCCAGGAGTCAGACAATCAGATGTGGTACCCAAGGGGAGGAGGCACACCATTCTATTTTTATGTGACCGAAAGCACCATAAACATTTGATCGATGAAAGATTGATTTTAAAATGAAAAATCTCACTATGGTAGAGGACATCTGCCTGCAGAGTCTCCCCTTGCTACAAACACACGTATCCCGTCATTCTTGGCATTGTGTCTTTTACTGTAGGAAATTACTTTTAAAAATTTAAACAGCCGCTGTATCTTGCAGTCACGCTGTGTGTTTATAACAGCAGTGTTCGCAGCGGGCAGGTGGCAGGAGGAACCCAAGCACCCCCAGGGGAGGGGGGTGAATGGGGGCTGCACACCGGGGAGCCGGGTCAGGCCTGAGAAGGTGAGTGGGTCTTGTTACACACAGCATGGAAGAATCCTGAAGGCACTGTGCGGAGACTCACAAGCCACTCACAAAGTCACAGCAGGCCCATTTAGGGAGAGAGCTAGCTCGGTGGCACACGCCTATAATCCCAGCTACTAAGGAGCCTGAGGCAGGAGGATCAAGGTGTGTGCGTCCAATGCGGGGGTGGGGTGGAGGGGTAAGGGGGTGGGGGATGGGGTGGAGGTAAGACCTTGTCTCAAACCAGCAACAGTGGATGTAGCTGAGTGGCACAGCACCTATGTGGACAGCACAAGGTTCTGAGTTTGAATCCTAGTACCAAACACAAAAACAAAAACGTAGAAAACATATAACAATCAGCAGGCATCACGTTGCAGCTGAGGGGAAGAGCTCCTGCCTCTTGGGGCTGCGTGCGAGGCCTTGGGTTCAAAGACTGGCAGCGTCAGAAGCCTCCACAGCCAGCACAATTGGTGATGGCGAAGCCCAGGGGGAGGCAAGTGGGGAGTTAACAGAGGTAGAGTTTTCAGATTTGCAAGATGAGGAAGTTTTGGGGGTCTGTTTCCCAACAGTGTAAGTAGTCTTTACGATGTCCCTAAACCGCCCCCCTCCCTTTTAAAAATAATTCAAAACAGGGTCTTATTAAGTCACTAAGCTATGTAGGTTTGGCTTGAAGCTTTGATCTTCCTGCCTCAGTCTCCAGAGGATGGGACTCCAGGTGTGCCACCTGCACTATTTGGAATTATGTGGCTCAGTGATGTTAGCACTGTACATTGTTGGCTGGGCGAGGTGGCCAAGCAGGCTGTCATGGTGTCATCTGGCAGCTCAGCATCCAGGGGACCAGGCAGGGGTGCAGGCCTGCTCCCCCCGTGGCCAGGCCTGGCCCTGGGGAGCAGGGACTGAGGAGATGGGCATGAAACAGCCGGGATTCCAGCGCTCGTGTGTGGCACACACTGCCCTGGAGGTTATGGAGGCCCCAGAGGACGTCCCACATTCACCCAGGGTCACCGTGGGGTCCTGGCTTCCCTACAGCAGCTCGAGTTCCAGCTGGGGCATCTCTGTCATCCCCTGGGATGAAGGTGGGGAAGACCTCACCTGAACAGCTGATGATCCAGAGACCCTCAAGGAGCTGCCTGCTGCTTTACTGAATGGTTTTCCTTTCATTTTGCATTCTTTCGAAAATGTTTTCAACGTGTCCTCAAACTCAGCAAACTCTAAATACTGCAAAACAGAGTATAAACAATAGCAGAGAACGAACAGTCCAATTAATGAGCATGCAAAGGCCCTTAACAGACATTTCTCCAGAGGACACCACAAAAGGTCACTGGCACATCAAAGGGCGCGGCAGTGCACACCTACAACCTAGCACTTAGGAGGGTTGCCTTAAATTCAAGGTCAGTTTAGGTAACATAGTGAGTTAAAAATAAAGCTGGACTATATAATAAGACCTTGTATCAAGGATAACGAGCTAAATAAGTGAACAATAAATATAGAAAAAATGAAATGCTCAGTGTCACCAATTTTCAGAGAACTGCAAATCAAAACCACAGCATGATAGTGCTTGTCCCCTGGTAATACCTGTTACCTAAGAGACTAGAGGTAGTGATCACTGGCAAGAAAGTAAAAAGATTCCCTGTGCACTGTGGCAGGGCTACAAATTGGCATGGCCAGTATGGAAAATGGTGTTAGGGGGGCCTCAAAAGATTAAGACTGGAACTAGCATGTGATCCAGCAATCCACTGCTGGGCACCTGCGGAAATGAATGCAAATCAGTATTTCAGACAGAGATTCCCACTCCCACACACAGTGCAGCCTCATTCACAAAAGTCATGCTGACAGATGAAAGAAAAGTGTGCAGCGGGATGTAGCTAGGCTCGGTGGTGCGTAGCTGTAGTCCAGGCTCTCTGAGAGCCTGAGGCGGGAGGACTGCAAATTCAAGCCAGGATGGGCAACTTAGCGAGACTCTGTCTCAAAATGAAAAAGATTTTAAAAAGACTGGGATGGAGCTCAGGGTGAAGGTTGTGGGTTCAATCCCCAGGACTGCAAGCAGTAGTAGTAATAATAATAATGATGATGATGATGATGATGATGCAGTAAATACATATAATGAAGCATTAAGCAACCTCAGGAAATCGTGCCATTGTAACAATGCAGAGGGACCTGGAGGACAGACGCTAGGTGAAAAAAGCCAGATGCAGAAAGGCAAATACTGCAAGATTTCACTTTTGTTTTTTTGATTTAGAGACAGGGTCTCGCCACATAGGGCAGCCTGGCCTCAAACTGTAGTGATCCTCCTGCCTCAGCCTCCTGAGTACAGGGACTTGCACAATCTCATCCTCATGAAAATGCAGTCAAACTCACAAAAGCAGAGTCGAACGGTGGCTGCCAGGAGTTGGGAAAATGGGGAAACACTGACGAAAGGTACAAAGTGTCACTCAGGCAACACCAGCACAGCCTGAAGAGCTAATATTCAGCATGGTGATGCAGTTAGCCGTGCTGGCCCATGCACTGAAAATGTGCTAACAGTAGATTTTAAATGTTTTTACCAACAAAGAAAGCAACAGATAAAGGTGTATCTAGGACCACAGCAGATTAATTATGATCCATGGTGGCGATCATTTCACGAGGTGTCAAAACATAAGCTCTGTGCCTTTAATATGTGTATTTTTGTCAGTTACACCTCAACAAGGCTTTGAAAAGGAACATGGTAATCCCAGCGCTGAAGGAGGCTGAGGCAGGAGGGTCACAAGTTCAAGTCCTGCCAGGACAACTTAGTGAGACTCTGTCTTAAAATTAAAAAAAATAAAAAATGAAAAGGGCTGAGGTGGGCTCGGTGGTGCAGCCCCCTTGGCTCAGTTCCCAGCATTGCAGAAAACAAAAGCAGGAGAACAAAAGGTATGGCAACCTTCCTGTCCTGACGTTACCAGGGAACCATCTTCAGTGCAGCTGTGCCGCCTTAGCCCTGCTGCCGGTTTTTCAATGCCTTGGGGAACTGTCAGCAAACTGGCATCTTTTGGAAAATAAATTAGGACTGGGCTTCAGCTACACTTATCACTCACTGCACACTGTGAGAGCTGAAAATACAGGCCAGGTGTGGTGGCACTCACTTGTTTTTTTTTTTTTTCTTTTATCAGTACCAGGGATCGAACTCATGACCACACATTTGCAAGGCAGGCGCTTAGGCCGCTGAGCTAAATCCCCAGCCCCAGCACTCACTTGTTAGCTCAGCACTTAGGAGGCTGAGGCAGGAGGATCACATACAGTTTGGGTTATAAAATGAATTCAAGGCAAGCCCGGTTACACAGCAGGATCCTGTCTCAAAAACAAAACAAGAAGGATGCTGGGAGTGTCACTAACAGAAAATAAAACGCCTTGTGAGCAGTGTGAACAGGCTGGATGCCCAGCGGGAGGGTGGATGGCTTTTGGTTTAGCTCTGCAGGCCCCGGGGAAGTCGTCCCTAGAAATGGAATTCGAAATATCAGTGACAAAGCTCAGGCCAGGAAAGGCATTCGCACTGGGCAGCGCCGCGGGCACCTCCGCTGGGCACATGCGCGACGCTGTTTAGACAAAATAACGCGGAAAATGATAGAAGAGGCAGAGGTCCGCGAGGTGCCCAGGAACATGACCAGGCACCGAAGGTGGCGCTGCTGAGGCCCTGTGCCCCAGTGGCCCGGACTCACCTCTTGGACTAGACCCAGCAACTCCGACTCGTGAGCCAGGACGTCGCCCATGGCACCGCCAGTCCGCAGCACAGTCCCCGCGAGGCCAGCAGATGAGACCAGCGTTTGTGTCACCGAAAGGCTTCCCAGCAGGGCAGGGAATGGGACTCCTCCGACAGCTCCTGGCGACCTTGCAGTGACAGGCCAGCGGGTTACCCTGGGGGGAGGAGGAGACGAGGAAATGCAAGGAGGACGCCAGGGCCACCAGGGCCACCACCACCGCGGGCTCTGGGGGTGCAGGGAGGGAGGCTGCAGAGGCAGGAGAGGCCGGGTGACCCCTCCCTAGAGCCCTGCACCACACACCTCGATTGCAGCCCAGCGGGGCCTAGCACAGGCGTTCCAGCTTTCCGCAGGTTCAGTCTGGGCCACTGGGACACAGGAGGACCGCATAGGAAGCCTGTACCTGCGGCCTCCTCCTCAGGACCCTGCTGTTCTGGGCTGTAGACTAACAATGCTGCCCTTGGCGAATCGCCCCAATTCGGAGCCTAATGCAGAGGCCCCAGCAGAGCTCCTGCAGTCTTAAGAACCTGAGGCTGTGCACTCCTGGAGCCAGTCCGTGACTTTACGTTTTCAGCCAGTGCGAGGATCTGTGCGCCAGTCAGGAAGATTACATCTACTAAGAGTTATGGCTTGGGCACTAAAGGTCACCCAGACCCTGCAGCCCTAGGGCTTGGCCACCAGGTATAGGTGGGACCTTTAGGAAATGGCAGGAAGCTGTCTCTGGGGGTGAGTCTGAGGGCCGTGGGACCCTGGTCTGTCTCTGTCCCTCGGTCCTCATGGAGGTCTGGCACCCTGTGTCACAGTGACTCTGCCCTCTAAGCTGCCCTGAGAGAAGACAGAGGCCTCCAGCTGGGGCACCCAGCTCACCTGCCTTTCTCAGGGCCCCATCAATTTCCTCGATTCCTTTCACTGCCACAGCGGCCCTGGAACACTGAACCCGGTGCTCCCCACATCCTAATTCCAAGCCTCAGTTGGATGGGCTCCCCTAACTCCCCAGTTCTAACAGTCCAGATTTGACCTTCCAGAAGCCTCCCATGAAATATTTTCCCTCATGTTGTCCTCATCAAGGCGATTCTTTCTCCTCAGGGGCATCTGGGTACCCTACTTTTATGGCTGTGATTATAATCGTGTTTCAAAAGCTGAGAGTGGTATTAAAGTTCTGTCTAAAGGCTGAGAGGTGCATTTAACTTTTGTACCCACAACACCTAGCAGAGTATTTACTGGACAAATGAATGAAGCCTGAACAAGGGGTGGCATTTTGGAAGGCCTGGAAATAAGAATACTTTGTTTTTGAGAATTTAATCTCCTTCTGGCCTCAGGGCCTTTGCACATATAATGCTTTTGCCTGGAAAGCTTTTTCTCCCTCTTCCTCACCTGGCCAACTCCTGTGCTTAATAAATGTTCCTTCTTCAGAGAAGTCTTCCATGACTAGTGACCCACTAAGTGAATGTCAGCTGCTGCAGGGTGTACTTGTGCTCTGCCACTCTGGTGCAATTATGAAACTTTCTCCTAAGCTTTTTATGCTAACAGCTATGGTGTACTGAGGATTTACTGGCCGCAGGGTGTTCTAGTGCTATGCCACTCTTGGCAATTAAAGAACTTTCTCCTAAGTCTTTTATGCTAACAGCTATGGCATACGGAGGGTTTATTGTTTGCCAGACACCATGCAGAATGCTTGGTGTTTACTGTTCCTGGTAAACCCCAGAGGTAAATGTCACTTACATTCTCCTTTTACAGTTCCTAAGTGACAAAGTAAGAATTTAAATCCACACGGATTCTAACAGATGCACTGTATTTCTTCAAATTTAGACCATTGGAGTCAGGACCAGCCAGAAAGTTTGCTCAACTGAAAATTCATACTCCAGCCTGTTGTGACCGGGCAGGTCTCCAGAGGCCCAGAAATTTGCCTTTTAAACAAGCTCCCTGGGTGACTTCTGCACGTACTCAAATTTGAGCACCAGGGCTCTTAACTCCTGTGGACGCTAGGGAAGACTTAAGTCACTGGGCAGCTTCTCAATTCGTGCGAGATTTTGGGCTTGGAAGCTAGCCGGATACCGTAGACTACGGGATTTGGCCCGTAACGAAGTCGCATAGCAAGCACCGTGTTTCTGCTGCATTATGTGACACTAGACTCGGCGTGGGTGTCTGGGGCGGTAGCAGGCTGCTAAGATGAAAGGCAGCTAGAAGCTCCAGGCCCTCCGCTGGCAGGACCACTATCCCGCCGGGCGTGAGAGGAGGGGTCTCCTGGAATTTCAGCTACTGCAGCAAAACTCGGGGACAACTTGCGGGAAGCAGCGGGGCTCGTCCTTGGGCTGTGCGGGCGGCTACCGCGGGCCCTCGCGGGTACGAGCCCTGGACCGCAGCTGAGAGGCGGGAGCATCCATCCACTCGGGGTTTTCCTCGGGGGAAAAGGGTCGGCGGAACCCGGCCCTCCGCCCTCCACCCCGGCGCTGCTCCTCCCGGCCTCAGGCTGCGGGATCGGCGGAGGCCCACCGAGGTCCCGCTGCGCTAGGGGACCCGCTTACCTGCGGCTCGGCAGCCAACACGGCACTCGCGGGTCCGAGCTCCGTCACCCCGGCAACCGCCGCCGCCTGCGCGGTTTAGCCAATCGCAAGGCGCGGCCGGCGCGAAGCATCCTGGGAGCAAAAGCCAGCGGTGGGGAAACTTCCGGACGGCGGAAGTGAGGCTTCGCAGCTGGATGCCAGACTGGGGTTCACATCTGGGCGCCTCGGTCCCCTAACCTCCTCACTACTCGCGTCACTCATTCATTCATTGGTTCATTCATGTATTTTCACAAACAGCCCGGGAGCAGGCTCAACCACAGGGAGCTCCTTGTCTCAGAGAAAACAAAACAGGAGGCGCAGATATACCCATTTTACCCCAAGCATCAGTCACCAAGGACCAAGAGTGACACCGGGGATCTGCTGCAAAGCTGCGGCTCCAGAGTTCCACGCCGCTGCACCAATCTCCAGAGTACACTGGGGTGTTTTGTGTTTTTTTGTTTGTTTGTTTGTTTTTTGTCTTTTTCCTTTTTATCGGTACCGGGGATCGAACTCATGACTGCCTGCTTTACAAGGCAGGCACTTATGCTACTGAGCTAAATCCCCAGCCCCTGTTGTTGTTTTTTTTTTTTATGTGACATTTGGGGTTTAAAAATCAGGGCAGAAAAGTCTGGTATTAGCGCAGTGGCAGAGGGCTTGTGGAGCATGCACAAGGCCCTGGGTTCCCTGCCTGCACCACAAGAAGTAAACAGCCAAATAAAACAAGAGCTCAGCTCTCACTCCCTGCCGGTTGTTTTTGAGCTGAATGAAGCTCAGCAGCGCTTTGTGCCTGCTCAGGGCTCTGTGCCTGCTCAGGGCCAGACTAGGCCAATGACTGGGGCCATAGCCCGGCCTAGACAGAAAACCGGCTCTGTGGTACAGCCGTGGCCAGGAGCCAGGTAGGAGGTGTGAAGAAGCCGCCCTAAATAGGGCCACCTTCTCCCCAGCCCCTGCCTGGCAGGAAGGGCCCTTGTTGCCCTTGGCTTGGGAATACAATTTCCTAGCTGTAAGAATAACAGTAAACATGCAGTAAAAGCACAACTGTATGCCAGGATTATCAGACAAATACTATACAGGACATCCAGTTGAATTTGAATTTCAGATAATTTTCTAAACAGAGTCATACTTGCTTTTAAATCCATCCTGAACTCATGATGAGCACTGATACTCACAAGACCTTTAAAAAACAACAACAAAAATGCAGTGAGTGCTGGGTTTGACAAGTTCTGAAGATAGCTACCGCTAAGGTCTGAATGAGCGTCCTGACTGTGCCTCATCTGTCCTGCATATAGGACATCTCGTTGCTTTGTATTCTTATTTGCTAAGCCGGCAGCACTGTGTATGGCCAGCACCCTGCTAAGCTGATCGAACTGAGCATCTGTGGCATGGACAGCAGTTCTGTTTATGAGAGATGGTGCCCTCCCCACCCTTGCCCTCTGCTTTAGAAAGCAGCTCAGGGCAAAGCTGCCTGGGTGAGAATCATGAAACCCATAGACCACAAGTGTCGCCCTTGTTTCCATGTCACAAGGACAGCCACAGCCTCTGCTCTTCCCATGCTGGCGGGTTAGCTGAGATTAGAGCTGCTTGACCCCAATGCCCACACCAGTCAGACAGACAGACATTTCCAGATCGACTAACTGCCTGCTTCTCCACCCATGGCTAAACCAGTCCATGGGTAACCCGTTCACACCTCCAAGTGCAAGTCTGACCTAAAGCCACCATGAGTGTGATGTGCTGCAGGCTAAATAAAATCAGTCTTTTATTATTTAGTTATTTATTTGGAGACAGGGTTTTGCTATGTAGTTCTGGCTGGCCTTGAACTTGCTAGGTAGCCCGGTCTCAAACTCACAGCGATCTTCCTGCTTCAGCCTCCCAAGTGCTAAGGTTATAGGCATGCAACACCACCCTCAGCTTTTGCAATCAATCTTCTTATGTGTTCAAGTTTTGTCTTTGATAAGAAGAACAGCATGGGGCACAGAGAAGTTAAGAAATGCCTCAGGGGCTGGGGATTTAGCTCAGCGGCATAAGTGCCTGCCTTGCAAGCAGGCAGTCGTAAGTTCGATTCCCGATACTGATAAAAAGGAAAAAAGACAAAAAAAAAAAAAAAAAAAACAAAAAACAAAAAACCAAATGCCTCAACGTTCACACAGCTGGAGAGACCAGGACTCAAGGTGAACTCTGGACTCTGAGTAACACACACACACTCACACACAACACACTCACTCACATACATCCTCCTGCCTTGCTTTCTTGTCCAAGTGTGTTGCCTGATGGCCCGGATTGTGCCACTGTGCGGTGGCCGTTTGAAACTGCAGCCCCAGCCTGACATCTTGAGTCCTAACTGCCTCAGTTGGCTGGTTTTTGATGCATAGTTTCCAGCATACTATAAATAGACCGAGCCCTTCCAGGGGGGGCAGAACCCTTGGGGTTGGAGCCCAAAAGCAGGAATGTGCCTGCCGCTCTTGGTGTGAGCCTGAGATAAACCAGGTGCACTGTGGCGCAGATGAGGTGCTTTTGCTTTCCTACTTTATCTATGGTGTAAGAAAAAAAATTTTTTACTTGTTAGAATTTAGTACAGTGAAAGACACATTGCTGGGCATCCCCTGGAATCCACCCCTCACTGCCTTGTCACTGGCCACAATGACTGGGCCAGGGTATGTGTGGCCTCAGACTGAGCTGTCCCTTCGATGGGGTTTTTCTCTGGAAGTGTGATCAGGCCAGTGGGAGAAGGAGACGCAGAGTGGCCTCCAGCTGTGCCCCGCCCTGCCTGCGATGCCTGGGACAGGAAGCCACCGCCCAGGAGACGCTAGGACCTGAGGTCCTGTGCGAGCCCAGCCTCCCCACCCCCAAATAGTGATGGTGCTTGAAGCTCCTATGTCCCTTCTGGGAGCTCCCCTCCCCCAGCAGATTCAGATCAGCCAGTTTTCCTACCGAAATGGTTTAAGTAGGACTCTCCCAGACGCCTGGAGGCTTCCAACCATTCCCTTTCACTCTGCCTAAAGTCGGAGGGCACCCCAGCCCCAGGAGGGGGCGTGGACATAGGGTGAAAGCTCCAAGCCTTTAATCACAGCCTGGTCTTTCTGATGACCAGCTCTCACGAGGACCCAACAAAAGTTACCTCATTAGAACAAAAGACATGCCAGTCAGTCATAAGACATGCCCAAGGGGCAGAAGCTCTGTGCCAGAAACGGAGGTAGAAACTTTAGTTCACAGTATCCTATCAACTAAAAGTGGCTTCACCAATGCAGGGTTCATTTTTTGGTGTTGCTGTTGAAGTTTGGTTTTGTTTCTGACATGGGATCTGCTATGTAGTTTGGGCTGGCCTCAAACTCACTCTGTAGCCCAGGCTGGCGTACAATGTACAGTAATCCTTCTACCTCAGCCTCCTGAGTGTTAAGATTACAGATGTGCACCACCAGACCCAGCTTCAAATCCTCGGAATGTACAGAATTGTTCAGCCATGCACTGAACATCCAAGGCACCCACTGAGCTCTGCAGTCAGGGGTGACGGACAGACCTGAGTCTCGGCCGCAGACAGCCCTCAGTGAGCTTCAGCCCCAGCACTGTGGGGCGGACACTGCTCCCAGCTTGTGAAAGTGTTTACTGAGCGGCTGTCTGGCTGTGGAGGAAGGGTGAGGAGCTGAGGCTCTTGGCAGAGGAAAGAGAGCTGCCAGAGGTCACCCCCAAGCTGGATAAAAGGATTAGGCCACTGCTATTCAGCGCAAAGACCTGATCCGGATCCTCTGGGGAAACTGGCCAGGCTTGGGGCTTCTGCAGGGGGGTCTCATTGCCCCTGGGGAGAGAGCCAGCTGGGGCCTGGATCTGATCAGTGCAGTAACGCCCAAGCATAAGTCTAGAGGCTAATTACAGTAAGGCGCTGCTTAGGCTAAAAATACATCCTTCCAGGAAAGCTATTTTCAGGTCACCGCTCAAAACACCCTCCGAATGGGCACGAAGAGCCATGGGAATGAGGACCTGGGTCTAGCTGGGTACCCATGGTACCCATGGCTGCTGCTGTCACAGAGCGGGAGTTTCCTGGAAGGAGGGTGGCAGCCGGGAAAGTGTGTCTCCGGGGAGGCCCTCCGCTCAGGACTGGCATTCGTCTGCTGTCCCCCAGGGCCTGTGTCACGGCACAGCCGCAGTGGTCCTACAGGGAAAGACCCGGGCCTGGAAAGCAGCGTCTGGCAGGGCGGCCACGGCTTCTGGCATGGCTTCAAAGTAGCGCATGGCCAGAACCTGTGAGGTGCCCAGCAGCGGCGGCTAGGGAACCCGAGTCTGTGCTTTGGGGGGAACTGTTACTCAGGTGTCAGTGGCTATGATGGGGGCCGGGCGGGTGGTGCACTGGTTGGCGCTGGGAGAGTGGGTGCTGGGACCACAGACACAGTATGGGGACAGAAGGCGGGGCGCACAGGGACCTGCCTGTCACTCCCTACCAGGTGGGATTCCTGCAAGCCTCCGACATTTCCCAGCCTCGTTGGTCCAAACCCATGTTCTCTTAGAGGGCCCGTGGCTTTCACAGTGAGGCCTGCAGGGACACAAAATGACACCTGGGCGAATGAATGAATAGCTGACGAGTTGGTAATGCGAAAGAATAGTTTGTGATAACAGATGTGCATAAGGAGCACTGAGTGCCCCTTCTCCCTTGCCCTCACCCACACTCTCCCATGAGCGGGCAGGATCGAGGGGAGGGTGAGACCTGAGTGTCTTTCTGCCCCTTTTCCCCACAGGCGTCTGACGCCACAGGAGCAACAATGGCTGTGGTGGAGGAGAGGCTGCGTGAGTCCTCAGGGAGAAACCCGAGCTGGGCTGACAGTCTGGGTGACATTGGTAGTCTCACAGTGTCAAGGGCTGGCTGGCTGGGCTCCAGGTGGGACACAGGAAGGAAATCACCCCGTATGGGGCAGGGTCCTCGCCATCCTGTGGGAACCTCAGCCCTGCCAACCCAGGCTCAGCCTTCACCTCCAGCCAGGTGACACTGAGCAGCCTCCCTCTCGCCCTCCCTGCTGTAGGTTCTGTCTCATCATGGCTGATCCCTTCCCTCCAGGCCCAAACTCCTGCTGGTCCCCAACTGTAATCTCAACACATTGGGAGGCTGAGGCAGGAGGGTTGCATATT